GGAGTGTCTAGCAGCATGAACCCAATAGGGCCATCCTCCAGAGCTGCTTGGATCAATCTTTCTGCTGATATGAACTCGTGTCCATGAAGTTTTATAGACTTATAGTTCTTATCAGGGGGATCCTTTTTGTTTTTCTTCAGGGGCACTGGTCATGGGGCTCCCGACTCTTCTGGTTGGTCCTTCTGAGCTTGGGTCTTGAATTTGAGTTGGCCAGTATCCCACTGGATCATTGGTCTCAACCTTTTCAATTCCGAGAAACCCAGAATGAGGTCATACTCAGCAGTGTCAGCTACTGATGCCTCCACTGCCCCTAGTACATGTTTTCCAATAACTACCTGCACCGTAGCAGAGCTGTTAATGGCGAGTTTGTGTCCAGTGACACCATGTACAGTTCGTGTTTTTGTTGGTTTTGTGTTTAAGTGGTACTTGCTGACAAAAGATTCTGAAACTATGGATAAGCCTGCACCTGTGTCAGCGAGTATTCGGGCCAGGTGGTCTTGGATTGTACCCGTTAACTCGAGCACCGCCTTGCTTGCATTAGCAGAGAAACAAACGGAACAATTTTGATATGTACAAATGGATGGCAACCAAGGTTGTAGGGTGATGCATGCCATCAGGGCATCATCCCACTGATGTTTCCCTCCTCGTCCTCCTCATAATCGCTCTCTGCCTTGTCAGCAAGAGATAACTGAGCAAGCTCGAGGCTGGCTTGCTTGACTGAATATGCATCTTGCAGTTCTTCTTCAGTTGTGCTTTCCTCCTCAGGAGTTGATTCTCCCTCAGGGGCATCTTCTAAGGTCACCATGACTTTTGGACCATTAGGTCTGGCTGTTGTTGGTACGGGAGGTTTTCTAGTAGGACAATCCCTTGCCCAATGTCCTGTGCCTCTGCACACGTGACAAGTGTTGCTGTCCTGAGGGTTAGCCTCCCTTGGCTTCTGGGCTTGTAACAGGTGAGGAGGCAGGGGACGATTACCAAATTGGTATGAAGTACCTGCAGTTACAGGTCCAGGTTGTCGGGCCTGTGGGATTGCTGCTGTTGTTGCTCATGTGACTGGGTTTGTGCGAGACATAAGTACACTGGGATATCTTGAGGCAGAATGTTGCATCACCATTTGTTGATGATCAATGTCCTCTACCTCTTGATACCATTCCCAAATACTTGTAGGTGGGTTTCGCTCGAACTTCTCCTGAAGGCCGCAGGTGAGGGTACTTCTGAATAAGTCAATAACCAAGTCCCTGTCCTCCATATTGACTTGCCCTTCAAGGTCTCTGAACCATTCAACATGTCAAGTAGCTGCACCAGGTGTGTCAGTTGTGAGTCGCATGTTGAGTAGCTTGTTGTAAGCTTCAATTCTCGAATTGTGGGGGTTGTATTGTTCAGTCAAGTGTTGTCTGAAATAATGCCAGTCATGGAACAATCTCCCTTGTCAGTCATGATCAATTCATATCTTGGATGTCCACCATTCACAAGCATTCCCTTCCAACTGGGACCCTGTGTGATGGATCATGCTCTTGTGGTCATAGACTCGATTGAATGCGAACCATGTTTCAGCTTCAATCAGGAAGATCTCCACATCCCTTGGATTGAACTTTGGGAAAGGGGTGGAAAGTGGTTTAGACTGACCAGGGGAAGGCTCCCCATGTTCTTGATGTCATATTCAGTGTCCCTAGGTATTCCTTCATAGGGCTGACTGTACCTCGGCCTGGTAGGGGTCACATACTTCTCATAGTTCGAATATGATTGTGTGTTTTGACCTAGGAATGACCCCGTCCTGTGTGGTCTGGGTGCTGGGTTGGGTTCAAATGACTCCTCGTTGGTAGTCTCCTTGGACTGACTGTTGCTCCCAACGAGGGCTTCCAATGACTCCAACCTTTGCATGAAACAGTTGGTAACTGTCCGATTCATTGATAGGAGCTTCTCCATTCTTTCCTCGGACCTTTCCATTAACCTCTGCAGCTCCTCGAACCTATCCTTGGTGTCAGGCTCTGTCATGTTGTCGTGGGGCACAACTTGAACGATCCACTCTAATGTAAGCAGTCACACGCCAGAGACTAGCTGGGGTTGATTGAGTAAGGACTACTCAATATGATTCACCTAAACGTAACCAAGCATCATCGCCTAAGAAGTCTCAACTGACTGCCTTGAACACTCTGTTCAGAGGTTGCATGGCATGGACATTGTTTGTTGGTGAGTGTGTGATACACCCTCCCCTACAGTATGAGTGTTCGTAGTACTGTTGATATGCTCTTGGATGTCGTCTGGACCACAATATGCCAATTGCCTACAGAGGACGTGAGTTACTGGACTGCTGGTGTGAAACACCACCTACAATAACTGACTGGACTGCTGGTGTTGAGCAACACCACCTACAGCAAGGAACTGGACTGCTAGTGTGAAGAACACCACCTACAGTAATGAACTGGACCACTAGTGTAAAGAACACCGCCTACAGTAATGAACTGGACCACTAGTGTAAAGAACACTGCCTACAGTTGTCAACTAACAGTGATACAACACACACGTTGAGAGTCATTGCAAGAGCACTGCTATTGCGAAGATACGTAACCTAGTAAGTATAGAGTAAGTAGTAGAGTTTTCAGAGTGGATGCCAGTCCACTCGAATGCTATGGTAGAAAGAGAGTATTTATATGTTCGATTGGTGTTTTCCCTCGACACCTATCCTGCTCCTCTTGAGGGGCCTTTGTCCCCTGTTAGGCACTGCCTTGCCCTGCTGGCATCATCCCCTTCGATACTGCACTCCTACTGTTTTGCTCAGCATAAGGGTTATGCAACACTGCCCTCTTGCCTTCATGCTCTCCTTCTGTCTGATGTGTGATGCCCTCTTTCGGCACAGCCCCCTTTCGACTTAATCTTGTGAATCCCCTTTTGAACCTTGTGACCATACCCCCTGGTTATGTGGTCACGTCAGCTCAGTTCCATCTCAACTTGTTCAGATCAGCTGACTAGTTGAAGCATGCTGATCTGACTGATTCCGACATTGGCACAGCTCCAAATACCTGTTTGGATCGGCTGATTAGTTGAGGTGTGCTGATCTGACTGCCTCCGTCATCAGCATAGCTCCAAGTACTTGTTCGGATTGGCCGACTCGTTGAAGTGTACTGGTCCAGCTGACTCCGACCATTCCCATGAGATTGATCTGGATTCCTGGGGTTCGATCGATCTCATAAATCATGTGCGCTGCCAACCTGATTAATCTCATTGATCCCCGATGGTTGTCAACTCTGATCAATCTGGCGCACCCTTCATATGTTGATCTTCTGCACACCCTTCATATACTGCTCCGTTACGCGACATTATCATAACTGCCGCTGATCATTTGGCGCACTCTCTTGCGCAGGCCAGCCGTCCCTGTGACAGCCATCCATCCAGAGGAGGCAAGGAGGCAGTGCCAATGAGAGGCAGCACAAGGTGGAAGGAGAGCATAGGAGGGACAAGGAGGATGAGCAGTGTTGCAGGCAACATTGCAAGGAAGGTATATAACCATGTTCTCTGTCCTAGCAAGAGTGGATCACCATCCACTCTACACCATACACAACTAGTTATCACTTCACATAAGTATACATTAGTTTCCAGTCAGCAAAATCGCAATCAAGTAGATTGCATCCATCATATTGTGTGTGTTGTATCACCACTCACTGACATCTGAAGGTGGTTCATAGCAAACCAGTGGTCCAGATAATGATAGAACTGAAGGCAGTTGTCCACTGCAGTCCAGGGATCACCTCAAGCACTCAGTTGACACACTGGACACTCATGTCAGCACTACCAATCATATCACTCACACCAGAACTTGGTGTAGTCACAATACATCCATTGTTATTGATTGTGCCAAGCTACCTCTGGATGGAGTGTCTGCAGCAGTCAGTCAAAACCTGCAATAGCAAAACCACTACTACATCTTTGGACAAGAAAAGTAATAGAGACATCTCTACCACATATCTCAACAAGAATTGTAATACACAGGACATTACCACATATCTCGACAGGATTTGTAATAGATGTGTTCCTGTCACAGATATCAGGTTTTAGGTGTGTGACCCCTGACACATCCATCAAGAGCTCGAGAAGATGGCAAAGCCATTTGTCCCACTCCTGGTGGTGGCACAGCAAGGCAATCTGTGGCTTTAGATGATCAAAGTAAGCATTGTAATGAGCCTGAGGAGACTCAACAGAAGTCTTGTCAAGCTGGAAGCAGGCTAAGAATGCAGGCTTAAGCACCTTCCACAAGTTCTTGATGTTGTTGGGCTGGGTCTCCATCCACTTCTCAGCACAACCAACCAGGAATGAAAGGAAAAGCTTGGCAGAGTGCTCTTCATCTTGATCAGCACAGTTTTTGAATAGATAACAGTTAAAAGCTCAAACAAAATGAGTGGTGAAGACACCTTCTCCTACATTTCAGAAGACACCAACATCGACCATCTTGCAGGTTGGGTGAGCTGTTAAAGGATTGGATTGCAGGCTGAGCTTGAGTGCTGCAGATGGAGATGTGGATTGTGACATCAAGGGTGAGGTGACAGCAAGCTTGGAGGCAGATGACTTGGTGACCAGCTTGCTGAGCTGATGTTGCTGGGATTGGCAGGGTTTGTTGCTCATGCAAGCTGTCAATGATGGCAAGCAGGTGAGAAGCTGGTGGTGAGGTGCTAAGAACAAATGGTTTCAAGTTGCTGCAGTGGCTGAGTCAGTTAAGAAAGCTCTAATCAACAAGCAAATACATAAACTGTGTTCGAAATACGAAACTCAACAAAACAACATATCGGCCGGTATGTAATTATTGCTGTTGTCAGCAGAGACGCTTGGTGCGACAGTCAGCAGGAAAGAAATTTCGAGAATATTTTCAAAGTGAGCATGGCATGTCTGTTCCACAAACTGTTATATAGAGTGTTAGACAGAGTGTTGTACAGAGTGTTAGACAGAGGCCTTTGCTCTTTTCCTCCATCAGGATCGGCATTGTTTGCTTTTCTTATACGACTCGAAGCATGTCAGCTGCACCAGCTGGTCGTGTTCAGCCAGCGCTCGGTTTCAATCCGGCTTCGTACGGCTCCGTGGTTGCCGGGTCTTGTTTGCTCGAACCAAGGTCTATGCGGAGCGAAAGGCGCGATAGTATCGACCAAGACGAAAACAGTCAGCAGAGCGACGATCATGCTACTCGATACAGCCAGAGCAGTGCCACAGAGGAGGCAGAGGAGGCAGAGGAGGCAGAGGAGGATGCATCCTACACGCTTAGAGATGATGCAGCGAGCATCTTGAGCGACTTTGCTTGCATCTTTCATCCGAACGAGTACATGGCCGCACAGCAGAGGCTGGAGGAGATCGATCGAAGGAGCGAGTACAGCAGTTATGACGAGGAGCGTGCACCCATCTTGCCTGGCTCTTACGGTGCTCGGCGTTTCTCTGGAGCAGCGGTAGGCTCTGCATGGTTCAAAGCACCCACTCAAGGTGGGCATGTCAGCGGCATTTCCATCCGTCAAGCGCTTGTCGACCGCTCCACGAAACCGGGCTCGAACCTTGGTCTCGTCCTGATTGCTGTCAGCCAAGTTTGCTATTCAACCATGAACCTCTTTGTCAAGCTGCTAGACGAGCGCCAAGGTCAGCAGGACGGTCAAGGTCAAGGTGAAGCGATCGGTGCGCTTGAGATCGTTGGTGTGGAGTGCTTGATCATTTGGATCGGCTGTTTGCTTGCCATGTGCATGGCAAAGACGAAAAACATCATCCTTGGTCCGCCAGGAACTCGCCTTCTGTTGCTAGCCCGAGGCATGTTTGGTTTTGCTTCCACCTTGGCTCTGTACATCTCGCTACAGACGCTCAGCCTTTCGGATGCTACTGTGATCACCTTCCTCTCGCCGCTGGCCACGGGGTTTCTAGCATACGTGTTGTTGCATGAACCTTTTACTGTCCGCGAGAGGATCGCTGGTGTGCTTTCGCTCGCTGGTGTCACTCTGATCGCTAGACCTTCGTTCCTGTTTGGCAGCAATGCAGGACAAGGCGCACCCGAAGATGGCGATATCCAAGTTCCACCTGCCTCCCAACCTGGTTCGGCAAGCGAAGCAGGCCGGATCGTTGGCATCCTCGTCGCTCTGAGCGGTGTCGTCTTGATGGCCGGTGCTTGGGTCTGTCTGCGTGGTATTGGCAAACGTGCTTCGACCTATCACTCGATCTCGTACTTTGCTCTTTGCAGCTGGCTATCGAGCTTTGTCGCCATGTACGTGCTTAAGGAGCCTTTTGTGATTCCCTCGTCTACACTTTCGCTGCTACTGTTGCTAGGCGTCGGTCTGTTTAGCTTGCTCGCACAGGTTTTCCAGACACTCGGATTGCAGCGTGAGTCGGCAGGAAGAGCGGCTACCATGTCGTACCTGCAGATCATCTTTGCGCTTTTCTGGCAGCTAGTGCTCTTTCGATCGGTACCCGACTTGGTCTCGATTGTTGGAAGTCTCGTCATCCTCGCAAGCGGCGCCTGGGTTGCGCTGAGCAAGCAAGACGGTTCGGCTGCCATGCATTGATGCTATACTCTCAATCGCAGACACATTGAGTCATCGGCATGCGGTTCTTGTATGCACTTGTATGACAATAGCCCCCCCTCTTGCACTTACCGACCAAGGTATTCAAGTTTTCGGTCTTCAAGTTTTCCAAGGATGATGACCTTTGCGTGCGATCCTGAGGCAATCCTGCTCGAGTTGGCCATTGGGATCATCATGGGCTCGGAGGGTAAAGACGTTGATGTTGCTGTCTCTGAGAATGTTCTGGCTTTGACAGTTGACGAAATCGTCTGGTTCAGCGACTCCTTGAAAGACGCGATGGATTCTCAGCCTGACTTGAACTGTGTCTGCGCATGGCGTGGTGCTGGTTTGCAGGGATGGCGGTAGGCAAGGGCGTGGAAGAGTGAAGACGTCAGCCTGCTCGTTGAATCTGAGAATGCGCTCGACGCAGGCAAGCTTGCCTGAAAGTCGCTCCGAACAAGGCTCCATGGTGGTGTACAGGTCCAGACCGAGCGTTGGGAGCGACTTGTTGTTGCATTGCTGCCTGTTGAACTGGCAAGCGAGTTTGTCAAGAGCACATTGTTCAGCATGCGTGTTGCCCGCTAACTCTCTCGAGAATCCAGTAGCGAGGATCTCTGAGCTGGATACGGCGATAGCATCGCTAGTGGCACAGATTACGCATCCGACGCAGAAGGCCGTGTCTGTGGGTGGAGACTTGTCAGCTTGGTCGAGTGCTAACTTCATCATCGAGTAGTGTCTCGGCAGGCTACCGGCATGCTGGTTTGAGTTGCTCTTGCGCTTCTGTGCTGAGCCAAGGGTGCGGGTCAAGCAAGAGGCTCTACGAGCCTCCCACTCGCCTCTCCAAGCGCGATACTCTCCTTCAATCCCTCCATCCTTCCAGACGGCCCAACTATCTCTGATGCGAAAAGCAATGGCGATTGGATGGTCGAGTAAGATCTGTCGAATGGGCGGAGAGGGATGGAGCTCTGGAAAAATCATCTCGCCGAGTGTCGAGCATGGTCTACGTGGTTTGCTGCGATTGCCTGTCCCTGCTTGCTTGTCTCGGGACTGGATCGGCTGCAAGAGACGGTTGGCTCGTTTTGCCAACGCTGACGAGCTTTGCGATACGGCGAGTGGAGCTGGCAACCGGAGCGGCTTTCTAGCAAGGTACTCGGTAAAGTAGTAATACGCTCCTCCAAAACCAAGGCCGATAAAAGCACCAACAAAGATCTGCAGGGGCGTATGGTAGTGCAGATGGTGCCTCGAGTAGCAGGTAAGAAGCGATACCAAGGCGATCAGGAGCATTGCAAGCGCATGTTCGAGCCTTCTCATCGAATTGACCAGCGTACGAGGTTTCAGCAGCGGCGGACGGTGGAGATAAAAGTGAAGCAGGAAGAACGCAGCAAAGAAGCCGAGGAATTGCGAATGAGAGGAAGGCATTCCGTATCCTGCTCCCAGTCTATCCGTCGGGCGCGGCTGCTTGATGAGCCGCTTGAGTGCCCAATTGAGGCCTTCGCAGGCCAGCTGCCCGATCAGCGCATTGATAAAGGTAAGCTCGCGACGCAGCAGTATGATCGTCACGTACGAGCACAGTAGGAAGATGGGCGAGAGCGTGACGAGCGCCATTAGCTTTGCCAATCCATCCGAGGGGTCATCTGCCGCCGGCAAAAGAGACAGACATAAAGGCAAACTGGTGTCAGCATCACGATGGCCATTGTGCAACAGCAGAGCAGCGCAACTTACACTGAACGTGTGTGAGTGCAAGGGAAGCAAAGTTGCTCGGATCGATGGCGCTCGTACCCTTTGCCATTCTTTCTCCGCCGTGCCTCGATCCGACCGAGCGTGTGTGACGTCTTAATGCGATGGTGGTCGTGGTGGTCGTTGGTGGTCGTGGTGGCGAAAGAAAGCGAATGCTCAGCCAAGGCGAAATGAATACAAAAACGCCTTGCGGATGGCCCGTGCTCAAAGCTCGTCGGATGAATTCCAGCAAGTTGGCTGCACGTGACTTGGCGTGCGCATCTGAGCACAGACCACATGTGCCACAACCTACTCAGTCAGATGCTTTGTTTTGCTCTGTGCTGTCGCAAACCGACTCAGCCACTCAGTTTGTATATATAAGCTCCATTTCACTCCTCACTCTCTCTCTTTCCTATCACCATCTCCTCTTCTCGCAAGAGTTGCACAACACCGACCTTGCTAACCCTTCTTTTCCCACCTGATTCCTGTCATGGGCCTGACTGTGCAGGAAGCAGGAAGACCTGTCAGTTCATATGAAGGTAGCGCAGGAATCGAGGAATCGGGTGATTATGAGAATTGTAACAGAATTCAGTGAGATCTGTAGTAGGAATGGTTCTATGACAGATCTCATCGAGATCTGCACGAGTGACGTTGATATCACAATTTCTGTCAGGATCCGCAGTAAGCATGATATTATGGCAGATTTCGTGGAGATCAGTGACAAGGAGGTCTGTACGATGATTTCACATGCGAGAGGATCAAGCTCGCAAGCGAGGAGGATCGAGCACTGCCAAGATGGGGACCGAGCTCATGAAGCATGCAGACAGTTACTGCTCAGGGGCTCAGGAGATAAGTAGACAAGAGAACAGTCACTGGTTGAAGGAAGAAGAGCTGTGTGATGGGCACCAGCGAACAGGTCATGAGGAGGAGGAGCAGTGTTGATGGAGTCAACACAGCTCAGGAAGAACAGGAGTGACAAGGCTCAATGAGGAGGAGGAGTCTCATTGGAGACTCCTGTACAGACTCGATGGAGAAGGTACTCTCTGGAGAGAGAGCAGGAGCAGTGTTGCTGGCGATGCTGCAAAGAGGTATATAACCATACCTTCTTGTTGCAAATGGTCAAGTGGATCCCCATCCACTCTACACACCATATAAACTAGTTATCACTTCAGCATAAGTATACATTAGTTTTCAGTCAGCATAGTAGTAATCGATAGGTTACTCCTCATTGTAGCATGTGTGTTGTATCACTGCTCACTGATGTCCAAAGGCAGTTCATAGCAAACCAGTGGCCCAGATAAAGATAGAACCAAAGGCAGTAGTCCACTGTGGTCCAGGGATCACCTCAAGTGATAGTCAACACACTGGACACTTGTGTCAATGCCACCAACCTCATCATCAACAAGATACTCACACCAGACCTTGGTGTCATCACAAGATCACCACCAATGTATTGGTATTGATCATGCTGAGCTACCACTGGAAGGAGTGTCCACAGCAGTTAGTTGAAATCTGCAATAGCATTACTACAACTACAGATTTGAGCGAGAAAAGTGATAGAGACAGCTCTATTGCATATTTCACCGAGAATTGAAATACCACTAGTGTTGTTGCATAACTCAACAGAATTGGTAATAGTATTGGCACTACTACCAATCTCAGGTTTCAGGCATGTGACCACTGACAATTCCCTCCCTTATGTTCTGCCTGTACAACCTGCTCTTCTCTGTGCTCAATCGGACCCCTTATGGCAGGCTGGGAGCCTTTGAGCCAGCGAGCCACCTCGCTGACCTGCAATCTAACAGGACCTCCATATTGTCTTCTGCATCAACTGACTGACCTCATCTTACAGCTGTGTGGGCCAGGCTGGGATGAGTCGCTTCGCTGGGTCCTTTGCTACTAGAACACATCCTCTATTATCAGCAAACACGATGGCCATATGCTCACCAAATCCAACACCCTGGAGAAGGTGTCTATGGAATAGCACCTCTCTGGTGGCTGCTGATCCAGCAACATCTTCAGCCTTGACTTCCGAGCTATTCACACATCTCTGAATGTGTGAATTGCAAGTCACAACACTACCAAATACCTTGACAACTGAGCCCAAGGTACTCTTCTTGATGATGTGTAGTGCTGCTTGCATTGCCTCCTTGGTTGGCTTGGACATGTCTATCTCCACATAGCAGATGTTGGGCCAAACTGTGTTTGACACCCAAAGTAGTTTTCCCACCAGCACTAACCCTAGCTCTTTCCATTGGAGGTCCTCTATGACAGATTTCTGTGAGAAGTGCAGGAACATTCCCTTACATTGAATCTTCATGGGATATGCTGTAAAGATGAGTAAGAGTAGGTCTTGACTAACCACCTTGTATGCTCTGTTCAGAGGCTATGCAGCATGTCAATGGGTGAAGTTGATCTTGCTATGCTATGACAAGTGTGGAGCATCGACATCAGCAGTAGCCTGAGCATTTGTAGTGCTTGACAGTCACCCAACAATGTAATGGTGTCCAGGCTGCAATAAGGTATTGCCTGTCAGCGGTTGCGCACCTGGAACCCGAAATATATGGTAGAGATTGATTAAATCCAACCTTGGCAAAAACTGCTGTAGAAGCCTTCTATACTCCTTTTCTCTTGAATAGCTTGTAACTGAGAGTTATCATGGGTTCCGACTAACTGCTGTGGACACTCTGTCCAGAGGTAGCTCAGCACAATCAATGTCCAGATGGACTCCTTACAATACTGAACAGTGATACAGATTTGTTGTCTTGACACAAGTGTCCAGTGTGTCAACTGATTGATTGATTGATCCCTGGACCACAGTGGATGACTGCCTTTGGTATGAGATCAAGAGAGCCAGACTGCAGTATGAAGCCACCTTTGGTGTTGATAGATATCCAGACCACAGTATGTACTGCCTTTGGATGGTGTCAAGAAGTGGTGATACAACACAAGCAACTATGATAGAAGCAATGCTCTGCAATTGCAACTGTTGATGGAATACTAACTATACTTGTGTGAAAGTTATAGCTAGTAATGAGAAAGGTAAAGTGGATGAGGCTCCACTAACTTACTATGACAAGGAACATGTGTGTTTTATATAGACTTTCTCGCAGTGTCACCTGTGGCACTGCTCCTCCTCCTATTGTCTCTCCTATCGATCCTGTCTACCCTATGATGTCCCCCTTCCTTTTAGCACTGTTTCTCCTGCTCCTTGCATATGGGGAGACCTTGTACCATTTCATCCTTGATAGGGGCCACTCCCACTTCATCTGAGTGGCGAATTGCACCCTCCTTCATATCACCCATCCTCTTTGTCAAGTTCATCATCATGTAGGGCCCCTACCTCATCAGGTGGCGGCCCCTGTCATGGGCCTGAATGCTCAAGAAGCAGGAGGGTCACTGGTTCATATGGAAGGAGCACAAGTATCGAAGATCTAGTCGATACCATTAGAGAGCATGGTCGTAGTGCAGTCTCCATGGAGACCATGGACTCCTACAGACTCACATGCAAAGGAGGACCGAGCCATATGTGAGGAGGGCCAGGCACAGCCACGAGGAGGACCAAGTTCAAGGAGCAGGCACAGCCACAAAGAGGACCAAGCTCAAGGAGCATGCAGATGGTTACCACTCAGGGGCTCGAGAGACAAGAGTCAAAGGAACCATCACTGGTCAAAGGAGAAGGAGCAGTGTATAGGGAACTGGCAAGCAGGTCCTGAGGAGGAGGAGCAGTGTCGAAGGAGTCGACACCAGGTCCTGAGGAGGACGAGCAGTGTTGAAGGAGGCGACACCACTCAGGAGGCACAAGGGTGCCAAACAAGCAGGATAGCAAGGAGGAGGAGCAGTGTCAAAGGAGTCAACACAGCTCAAGAGGCACAGGGGTGCCAAGCAAGCAGGAAAGGCCCCCTGAACAGTACTCGATGAAGAAGGTACTCTCTGGAGAGAGAGCAGGAGCAGCATCACTGGTGATGCTGTGAAGAGGTATATAACCATGCTTTCTCATCATCAAAGGTCGAGTGGATCCTCATCCACTCTACACACAACCATCATAACTAGTTATCACTTCAGCATAAGTATATATTAGTTTCAGTCAGCATAGCAGCAATCTATCAAGGTTGCTCCTCATTGTAGTGTGTGTGTTGTATCACCACTACCTGACGTCCAAAGGCACCCCATAGCAGTTTAGCAGTCCAGATCAAGATAGAACCAAAGGCAGTAGTCCACTGCAGTCCGGGGATCACCTCAAGCATCAGTCAACACACTGGACACTTGTGTTGATGCCACCAACCTCATCACCAACACCATCAACCTCATTATCATCAACATTCACCAACCTTATCACCAACACCATCAACCTCATCATCATCAACACTCACACCAGACCTTGGTGTCATCACAACCTACATATTGATATTGATCATGCCGAGCTACCCCTGAATGGAGTGTCCACAGAGGTCAGCCAAAACCTACAACAGTATATACAACAAATGCCACCTGCTGTCATTGCACAACTTGATAGTTGCTGAGCAACTAGCTCGTCGAGACTGATACTGAGACAATAGCTGTTGCACAGTTTGATAGTCGCCGAGTATCTCAACAGACCGACCTGGGTTTCAGGTGCGAGACCCCTGACAGCCCCCTCCTTGTCTATTGTCCTCCTGTTGTGGGATTGGTGGAAGAAGTGTCTTTGAACCAGTTTCCATGAGATCTGTCATACAAGTGTGGTACTACTGATCCTGCCAAACTCTGTAATAAGACCTTACTTTTGCCAATCCCAACAAGTTCTGTCATAGAGCCCTCAATCCTACCAATCTCACTGAGCTCTGTTGGAACTCTCTCTTCACCTAAGCCACAATGGCTGTGCATAGTCCCTTCATATGAATCCAGTTCTTCCTGCACATTCCTCCAATCCCATGACATTGCCTACAGATGGAGTTTGAGCCGGACCGCAGTGGAGAGCACTGCCTTTGGAGGATGACTGGACCACAGTGAATACACTGCCTACAGTTGATGTTCCAAGGGTGATATGATACATGCACTTGAGATCTCTTGCCGAGATATACAATTACGATTACCTGGTTGCCGCCTGTGCCTCTAAGGTAGACGCATGGCACTGTTTGTATGGGAAAGAATCCTGTCACAGGGTTTGTGCAGAAGACCCTGGACAAACATTGGGCCTGTTGTGCACACAAATTGTGAAATCAACTGTGTCATGGGTTTTGGGTTGATTTTGCTGAAGTTGACCAGAACAAGCCCATTTGGTAGGTTTCACCAAATATGCTGTGAGAAGCTCCCTTTGGTATGTACCAGGTTGGACACTCATGGGAGAAGGATGGGAAAGTCAGAGGAGGAGTTCTCCATTGTTGAAAGAGGAAGGGACAGGCAGGAGGTGATCACATGCGAGGAAGGGAACCACACATATGGTTACCACACGGGGAGACGGTTTCACACATGTCAAAAGGATGACCGCATGGAGCAGGAGGATAGACATAGGGGCGACCGCATGGATGGGAGCAGGACAATAAGGTTGACCACATGGTGGACCAGCACATAGCTCAAGAGGGGGAGAAGCAGTGTAAAGGAGGACAATACACTCCTCAGGAGGAGCAGGAGTGGGGTTGCAGGCGACACTGTGCAAATACATATACTCTCATTTCATTATAGCATACTCACTCATTACTTATCTCAGAAGACTATATCTTAGAGCAATACAAACCTAGTTCTACAAACATGCTGCATAGCCTCTGAACAGAGTGTTCATGGCGGCCAGTTGAAATTTATCTGAAGTAAGCCTTTCTGGTTTCTTTGGTTGATCTCAACAATATCAACCAGGACCACTGAACATGGCCCAGACTGACATTTGGCTGTTGTTGGGAGTGGGAGTGGGAGCAGTAGTGGTAGCTTTGACTGTGTGAAGCTCAGTATTAGGGTTCTTGGCACAGAATCGACTGATAGCAGTCTCACCTCTGGCAGTAGTAGCACCTTTGGCGTCCATCGTCGCCTGGCTTGTCCATGCGGTATGCAGTCTGAATCATGACTTGACCACTAGCTACAAATGTTTGAACCAAGAGCTTATGATAGATCTCGATGAAACCCAACAGAGGGTGCCATTCCCACCGATCTTGCAAGGCGTGCCAGGGAAAGGAGATGGTCAAGGCAGTAAGGGTCAGGTGACTTTGAGAGGTCGCTCGCCCTCACACTAGCTCGGAGGCAAGGAGTACAAGGGACTGGAACACAGACAGGAAGCATATGGGACAAGGAGCAGGAGGAGGAAAGATTGGTAGGATTGAGGTCCTATGACAGAATTTGTCAGGCTTGGCAGGAGAGCAATCTTACTACAGAATTTGGTGGGATCAGTAGAACCATGCCTGTACAACAGATCTTGTAGGAACTGGTTAGAGGAAACCTCTATCACCAATCTTGCAGTAGAAGGACAACAGACAAGGAAGGGCTCACCACCTGATGAAGTAGGGGCCCTACACAATGATAAATGCAGCATAAGAAGATGGGTGTTGTCATCAGGGGCATGATGAAAGGGGGTGTGCTTTACCACTTGGATGAAGTGGGGGTGACCCCTATCAACAATGAAGTGACACTGGATCTGCTTGACCACAAGGAGCAGGAGAAGCAGTGCTTAAAGAAGAGTATACACCCTAAGGGAGATAGGGAAAAGGCAGTGCCAAAGGAGATCCTACACCTCTTGACAGAGCAGGAGCAGCGTTGCAGGCGACACTGCAAGGGTGTCTGTCTATATAAACATACATTCTATTCATAGGAGTCGAGTGGAACCATTACTAGCTATATCTTTACCATATCATATACTTAGTAGTTTCTGTCAACAGTTGCAATTGTCAAGACAGATGCTGTCACACCATACTTGGTGAAACTCAAGAAGTACTTTCAGACACCAATCGTGCAGCGCTACCACTGGACAGAGTGTTCACGATGGATAGTTTATGTTGGATACAAGCTTGCGAACATCTGTGTTAAACATGCAAATCTTGCCAGCTTCATTGAGGAAGGTGATTCTGCAATGTGCCATCTTAGTAAGGTCTTTCTTGGGTTGGTTATGCATTTCATGTAGTCTCCAGGACTGAGTCTTAGTGGGTTGAATGAACAATATACTGACATTATCAGTGCTGATGAGCTTGAGACTGCTTTGAAGGATTGCACAAAGGTTGTGATTGAGCTTTTGATTGAACTTTTCATCACCTGGTCTGATGATACTCAGAGGCAAGGGTGGCAAGCATACCAGGCCTTTGTGGTTAGCTTAGGTGCCTCCTTCAGGGCAGTAAGGGTGTAATATTTAAATTGGCGAGGTGAGGCGAGTGAGGCAAAGTGTCATGCCTGGGTACTGTCAGCAGTCTCGCACCTGAAACCTGGAACCTGTAGTAGAAATGCATCTATTACCAATCCTGTCAAATTATGTGATAGAGTTCATTCTATTATTGTTCCCATCAAGATCTGTCTTAGAAGGCCTCTATGACTTTTCTTGTCCAAAGATGTGATAATGTGATTGTTACTGCAGGTCTCAACTAACTGCTGTGGACACTCTGTCCAGAGGTAGCTCAGCACAATCAATAATGATGAATGTATTGTGGAGACACCAAGGTCTGGTGCAAATGAGGTTGTTGACACTGACATGAGTGTCCAGTGTGTCAACTGAGTGCTTGAAGTGATCCCTGGACCACAGTGGACAACTGCCTTCAGTTCTAGTGATTGAGAGAGCTGGACCACTGGATGAACTGCCTTTGGATGTCGATCAATGTCAATGAGTGGTGATACAACACATGTGCTACAATAGGAGCAATGTCTTACAATTGCTACTGTTTGACTAAATACTAATGTATACTTATGTGAAAGCTATAACTAGTAGTGTATGGTGTAGAGTGGATGGGGATCCACTCAATGGCTATGGTGAAGAGCAAGGTTATATAACTGTTTCTCTCAATGTCACCCTGCAACATTGTGCACCCCCTCTGGGTGTCTCTTTGGCACTGCTACTTCTCCTCCTTGTCCTTTCTATTCCTCCTTCCATCCTGCAATGCTGCTTGTCAGCATTGTGTCTCATGCTGCCTGTGGATGGACAGTCTTTGCATTGTCTCATCATTGATAGGGGTCATTGCCACCTCATCTGAGCAATAGTTCATACCCCTTTTCATCTAACCCATCTCCCACCCTTGGACTCATTTGCCAAGCAGGTCCCCTGCTTCATTGGTGGTGGACCCAGATGTCATTGCCACCCATCAATGATATCAATGTCCTTTTGCTGGTTTCAGTGAGATCTGTCATACAATCATGATGTTACTGATTCTGGCAGTTTTCATTATAAGCTCCTGCTCTTACCAATCTGAGCAAGATCTGTTGTAGGACCTCTCTACTACCAATGTCGATGGGTTTGGCTTTTGGACCCTTGCTCAGCCTGATCCAACAATTCCTGCACCACCCCTCATATGCTTCCAGATCCTCCTGCGCATTCGGTCCTATGACAGGTACTCTATTGTGTGAATACTAGCCACACGAGAATGCTCGATCGATATCTTTGTGCAAATCTTTGCTTGTATGGAAGCTAGTCCTTGCTTCCTGCAATGCATCTAGTTACTGTTGAGGAAGCATGGTCAGGTCAAGATAGCGAGCGATCGAATTGTATGTCTTCAGAAGCTAAGTACAAAGTGATGTTGTGAACTATATATGCCTCTATGTTAGTCTCTGCATGTGTGTGAATAGATGACATGGCATGTGTGGCTGCATGCTGTTACTAAGTGGGTTAGGGGATGTTGGTGGGTGGTGTTGAGTGTTGGTGGGAGTTGATGGGTGGCGACATTGGAACGAGGTTTGCGAAAATGCAAACATATGACTAAGCAGTCATGTGTTTTAATTGAAGATTGCAAGTAAAACACCGCCGATCGGAGCTACTAGCAAGCTCAACTTCATGGGTGTATAACTTCAAGAAAAATGCTTATTATTTCTATTTGTGAGTGCTACAACATGAGCATGTATATATACTTGATCATCATCCTTAACACCTGCTATGTCATAATGAACTCTTCTTTCATATGGCCCCTGTGTTGTCACTTTCTGGTTGTTGCCTCTCCCTGAGTGTTATGGTTGTATCATTTATACATCCCACATGCATGTTGATGCATGTCAATATGCAACTCTGACTCACTATTATCTAACTTGAACTCTGTGGACCCCATAATTCATGTTAGGATGCCGACGCATCTTCAACTGTTTTTACTGTTACAACATTTGACCGGGCATACAGCTTGCGCATGTAATAACCTAACACAAAGGCAGTCAGACTCTTATTTATTGTTAATTCACAAGTGGAAATTGTGAGACACAAATAAATCAATCAAACTCACTTGGCCTCGGGTTTCCACCGCTCCTTCCACAAGATCACATCTCTGCTGACACACACTCTTTCGGCACCTCCGATCGGCACCGCCACCGCCACACCACCACCACCACCACCACCACCACGACGACGACGACGACGACGACGACGACGACGAGGAGCATATCTTACTGGCAGGTGCCATGGCGAAGAAAGGAAAAAAGAGCACGAGACCGAGGGCGCAGGATAGCGAAGGGTTGGGTAGAGATATAGAGGCAAGTAGTGGTGTAGAGAGTGGCGATGTTGTGGGGAAGGATGGGTTTGATATTGCAGATGAACTTGTTGCTGTTCTTGATGCTAGAGATGCGAAGGATTGCGTAGGTGGTTCTAGTCATACTCGAGCGACGAGTATTCGCAAACTTTTCTCTGGCAGTTGCAAAAGTGACCAAGCTTGCCATGTAGATGGAGGATTGGTGGAGAAGAAAGTTAGTCGGCAACAGCAGAGGAGAGAACGTAAGGCTGCGGAAATGGCGTCGATCAAACGAGAGGTGGAAGAAGAGCTTAGAGGTCGCTCGTCGCAACCGGGTCAGGCTGAGTTGGAACGGCTTGGTATTTCATCCATGTGTTGCGCTCTGGGTTTGAGCATGTATGAAATCCAGCCTGATGGTCATTGTCTCTATGCTGCTGTTGCTGACCAACTGAATCTGCACCAGAAGGTAGATCGACCTACAGACTTCAAAGCAACTCGCCAAGCAGCTGCCAAAGAAATGCGAACCCATCCCGAACAATACAAACCCTTCATCTCTGACTCGGACGAACACATGGCTGGCATCACCACCCCCCAAACCGCCACCACCATCTCGAAAGATACGCAAGACCAGCACTTTCTCGCCTACTGCGATGCTGTCCAAAACACCGCTGTCTGGGGTGGCCAACCTGAAATCCTCGCACTCTCACGTGCCTTCCGAACACCGATCCACATTGTACAGGCTGGCCTACCCGTCTTGAAGGTCGGCCAGGAGGAGTTCGAGAATGACACCAAGCCTTTGTTCATTTCCTACCACCGAAAGATGTATGGATTGGGCGAGCATTATAATTCCCTCCGACCACAGCTGTCCTAGGCTCGGAGGAGGAGGAGAAGAGCAATACACACGTTGGCCTGCTAAGCACAGCAGGCACAGCAGGCACAGCAGGCACAGACCAGAGTTCTGACGCTTGGACGACGTTTTTCTTGAAACAAGCTGATCGCGACAGCGACGAGGGAAAGAAAGAAAGAAAGAAAGAAAGAAAGAAAGAAACAATGCCGACGTGCGGCAGTCTGGCAAGAGTCTTAGCCAGTAGTACCCTTCTCAAGAGCGCGAGCATAGTTTCGAAGGATGGAATCAACATCCTCCATAGTCTGCTCCCTAACATCTGCGAGTTGTTTGATCTTGCCTGTCACCTGCTTGACCTGTTCCTCGGTGAGATCGAGCTCGAGTTGTTCGCATCTCGACTTGACCGCATTCCAACCTGTGAGACGGTGGCCGATGGAAACGTAACGACTCATGCCAAAGTCTTCGGGACGGATGATCTCGTATGTCGATGGGTTGGCGAGGATGGCTTTAGCATGAATGCCTGCCTTGTGTGTGAAAGCGCAGTAGCCGGTGACGTAGTTGTTAAACGGCACTTGGATCTGCACTGCTTCGGCGACCAGGTTTTCCACTTCACGCAGTGCTTTGAGGTTGTACTTGCTCATAACGTAGTCTCGGTCAGCCGTGTACATCCGAGCGATGAAGCCGCCGAGCGAGGGGATGCCGTTTCGTTCGCCGATACCGAGGACGGAAGTGTCGACGTGCGTAGCACCGGCCTCGAGAGCAGTGTATGCGTTGGCGATAGCGCAGCCGGTGTCGTTGTGGAAATGACACTCGATATCGCATGCAACCACTCCACGGAGAGTGCGGACAAGATCGTAGACCTGTCTTGGATTAGCAACGCCGACCGTGTCGGCAATACCCACACGGTTGACGCCAACCTTGTCGACAGCCTGGTAGATGCTCAGCAAGTCGACCAAGTCCGATCGGAAAGAGTCTTCCGTCGAGAATCGGATCTCGATGCCCTTGCTCTTGACAAACTGAATCACCTCGATGGCAGTCTTGGTGATGTAAGTCATATCCTTGCCGTGAGAGTATTCACGAAGGAACTTGGACGTGCCCATAACGACATCGACACCATCGACACCCGTCTCGACAGCAATCCGAGCATCGTCCATATGGCATCGAATGTGAGTGATAACCTTGGCCTTCAGACCAAGCTTGCAGATAGCTTCGCAGTCCTTGCGCGACTGCTCCGAAGCAGCGGGCGAGGTCAACTCGATGCAGTCAACGCCAAACTTGTCCAGAGCCTTGGCGATCTTGATCTTGGTATCCGTATCGAAGAAGGCGTTGGCAAACTGCTCGCCCTCACGCAGCGTCGATTCGATGATCTTGAAGTTGGAGACGTTGCTCAGGAAGTCAGAGTAACGAGTGTTGAAGGGTTGCACCTCGCCAACATTACCACTCGTCTTGGCGAGATGGCCGTTTGTATTAGGAGCGGACGTGTCGATAGCGACGTGGGTGTCGGGAGCACTGCCATTGACCTGCTCAACCGAAGAAGGCTCGGAGTGATCGCACATGATGAAGAGGGCAAGGGTGGCGAATCAATTGGGTCTGGTGTATATATCGAGAGGAAAGCAAGGAAAAGGGCAACCAACTCTTCGGCCATTCTCCCAAGCTCTCAGTCTCGCCCAGAAAAAGAGAGAGAAAAAGGAGAGAAAAAGGAGAGAGAAAGGAGAGAGGAAGAGAGAGAGAGAGAGCGAGAGGGCGTGTGAATTTGGTGGGACACTCTGCCACATCACAGCTTGGCGTGGGAACAAGGCGAATCAGCATGGTCGGATCAGAGCCGACGACCGCCTGGGCGAATTAGCAGAGAGAGTTATTCAAACAGAGCGCGCCCAAAGATCGAGTTCGTGGACACGCACGAGAAAGGAAATGAAATTTGTGCGCTTCTTTTCGTGCGAGTCGAGTCGGCCTGTCGATTCGCCAACAATGAATGTGCGTGCGTGTAAGTGCTAACTGCACAGACAAGCACAGGATCACGTGACCACAATGCGACAGCTCGCGACATCCCCCTCTTCTAAGACCAGTGTAGCGCCAGACAAGGTAGGTGGGAATGGAGGCAGTGTTGAAAGCAATGGGCCATTCAACCAGGTCCTCCTTGGCTTCCTCCAAACACCCATTTGCGACTTGCTTGTGGTGGCAAGCTTGGATCTGAACATGTGACAATTGCCACTCTGCATTGACCTTGTCGCAGTTGTCTACTGTGAGCTGCTCACCAACAATGCATTCCACCTCCCATTCCCAACTAGAAAGGGTGCCATCTTCTTCATTTTCAGTCCTGATGGCAGGTGTCGCCTCAAGGGAGGTGGAAGTATGAGGCATACCCGATGGTCAGACAAGACCTTGGAGATGGCGAAAGGGGCTGGCCTTGGCCAGATTGAACTTCAGAAAGCAGGCATTGGCCAGTAGTGGATGGTCCTTGATACAAACAAAGATGCTGTTGCTGGCCCTTAGTTTGGGGAAGGGCTTCCTTTGATGATTGTAGGCATGTTTGTTTGTCTTTGCACTTTCAAGTGATTGCTGACAGGCAGCTTCAATGCGAGCCTGTGCAATGGCTAGCTTGTCTGTGTGTGCCTCCTGTCAGAGGTCTTGTGCCTGAAACCTGATATCTGTAGTAGAAATGTATCTGTTACAGATCCTGTCAAGATATGTGGTAAAATGCTATGTATTATTATTCTTGTCAAGATCTGTTGTAGAAGGCCTCTATGACTTTTCTTGCTTGAATATGTGATAGATTGATTGCTATTGCAGGTTTTGACTAACTGTTGTGGACACTCCATCCAGAGGTAGCTTGGCACAATCAATAACAATAGATGTAGTGCAATGACACCAAGGTCTGGTGTGAGTGATGTTGTTGGTGCTGACATGAGTGTCCAGTGTGTCAACTGAGTGCTTCAAGTGATCCCTGGACTGCAGTGGACAACTGCCTTCAGTTTCTAATGATTGAGAGAGCTGGACCACAGTATAAACTGCCTTTGGTGTTGATCAATATCTGGACTGCAGATAGTACTGCCTTCAGATGGCATCAAGAAGCAGTGATACAACACATGCACTATGATAGAAGCAATGCTCTGCAATTAGCTACTGCTGATGAAACTACTAAGTATACTTGTGTGAAAGTTATAGCTAGTAAGGTAAAGTGTAGAGTGGATGGAGTTCCACTCAACCATCATGATGAGGAGCAAGTGCATGCTATATAGATGCCCTTGCTGTATTGCCAGCAACCATGCTTGTTCCCCTTGTGATCTCCTCCTACACTGCTCCTCCTCCTCTCAATTCTTCCTCCTAGCAGATGGGAAATCCTCATGCTGTTTCATTGCCAATAGGGGCCTTTCCCACTTCATCTGGGTGGTGACTCACACCCCCCTTCATCTCTCCCATCCCCTGGTCCTGAGCTCATTGTCCAGTTGGCCCCCTGCTTCATCAGGGTGGTGACCCCAATGTCCCTGACATCTGTCTCACCATGAGACTTGTGAGATTGGCATCCCCTGCAAGATCTGTCTTACAATTGTGATACTACCAATTCCAGTGGGCTTTGCTGTAAACTCCTGCTCATACTGATTTGGTCAGAATCTGTCATTGAGCCTTTTCTACTACAGATCTCAATGAACTCTGCCTTAAACTCTTGCTTAGCCCGATCCTGCAATTCCTGTGCTCCTCTTCATATGACTTCGGGTCTTCCTGCTTCCTGCGCATCCGGTCCCATGACACCTCTGTGGACAGTGAGGGCAGGGCTGAGTCACCTGTCTTTGCAATGTAGACCAAATCAAATGGTGTCTCACCTGTCGCCTCTGATGGTGTCCGGTTGATGGCCAGCTTGGCTGCTGCAAGCAAAGTGGGCCAGTCTTCAGTATGGTGTAGAGCCAGGGATCACAGGACCTGTTCAAGAGTCTGGATGTGTTGCTCAACTGGATTTGCTTGCTGGTGGTAAGGAGCAGAGGGCTGCAGGGTAGCACCAATCTCAGCGGCAAACCTTTGTCCTACCAGCCCGGTGAAACAAGTGTCGAGTCTGACACAATGACCTTTGGCCACAGCCTCTCTGGAGCACAAGTTTGTTGAGCATCAAATACAGTTCTTTGGCTGTGACTTGCAAGGTGCATAGCTGAGTCAGGAGCATGCACAAAAAGAGATCCACAACCACAAGCACTGCATTGTAGCCATCACACTCTGGCAATCTGAGGAGTAGGTCGATTGAGATGGTGTGGAATGGATATGAGGCTGCAAGCATGCGTTGGAGACAAAAAGGTGGGGGTGATGGTAGCTGCTGAGTTGCGCAAAAGTCTTTTGGAACCCAAAGTGGGTGGCGAAGGAGTTGGTCAAGTGCCATGGTGAAGGCTCTGCTGGAGGCATCAACATGCAGGATGAAAGGGCAAATGTAGTTGGGATATGCCAAAGTTGGAGGTGAGGAGAGTGCAAGCTTCAGCTGAGAGAGAAGCTGATTGCAGTCAGGTGTCTGTCATGGGACCGGATGGATGCGCAGGAAGAATGGAACTCATATGAAGAGATCTTGCACAAACATTGCAAATTGGGCAAAAGTAGAGTTCTGACAGAGTTCAGTGAGATTGGTAGGAACAACAGCTCTATGACATAACTCATCATGATTGGTAGGAGCATGGGTCTTGTTACAGGAGTAGAATCAGCAGGAAAGTAGAGTTCCAACAGGGACCAGTGAGATTGGTAGGATCAATGACTCTATGACATAACTCATTGTGATTGGTAGGAACATGGGCCCTATTACAGGAGTCAGTAGAATCAGCAGGATCACACTTGCTACAACAGGCCTCATGGGAATCAGTTTGAGAGAAACCTCTATTGCCAATACAGCAAGGGGTTGACAATGAACAAGGGAGGAGTTGCCACCATATGAAGCATGGACCTTGCACAATGATGAAGTTGGTGCAGGCAGATGGGCACTGGCAACAAGAGGGAGGTGAAAGGATGCAGGTCACCACTCAGATGAAGTGGGAATGGCCCCTGACAAGAATGAAGTAGCACAAGGGCTATCCATCCACAGGAAAAGAGGAAAGTGGTGCCAATGAGCAGCAGCCCAATGTGGATGGAAAACAATAGGAAGGACAAGGAGGAGACATAGGGCTGAGGAGGCCTCACAGAACAGGAGCAGTGTCACAGGCAACACTGCAAGGATGGTATATAACCATGCTCCTCATCATAGCAAGTGAGTGGATCACCATCCACTCTATACCTTACATCACTAGTTATAGCTTCACAGAAAGTATAGTTAGTATTCTGTCAACAGTTGCAATTGCAGAGTGTCACGGGATTGGGAATCGGGTAACCAAACCGAACATAGTGAGCAGTAAAACCACTACACCAGCTAGTCCCTTAGCTGGTGTACCCAATTCACACAACACTGAAGTATAAGCATTTTTCACTCCCAAATGCTCCGGACTCGGAGAACGGAACCATTCCAGTGACACAGAGCATTGCATCTAACATAGTGCATGTGTTGTATCACTGCTCATTGACATCGATCAACACCGAAGGCAGTTCATCCAGTGGTCCAGCTCTCTCGATCACTAGAACTGAAGGCAGTTGTCCACTGCAGTCTGAGGATCACTTCAAGCACTCAGTTGACACACTGGACACTCATGTCAGCATCAACCACCTCATTTGCACCAGACCTTGGTGTCTTCACAATACATTCATCATTATTGATTGTGCCAAGCTACCTCTGGACAGAGTGTCCACAGCAGTTAGTTGAGACCTGCAGTAACAATTGCATTATCACATCTTCAGATGAGAAAAGTCATAGAGGCCTTCAAAGACAGATCTCAATGGGAACAATAATAAAATGCACTCTATCACATATTTTGACAGGATCAGTAATAGATGTGTTTCTATTACAGGCTCCAGGTTTCAGGTGCGAGACCACTGACATTCAGCTGAGAGAGAAGCTGATTGCAGTCAGGTGTCCATGCAAGTTGGATTTGACTAGCCAATGTTTTGATGCTGTCCTTGTTAATGAGGTACCACTTATCACCAAACTTACAATATCAGTGTCCTTTGAGGAGTGACATGAGGGGCAAGACGAGGGTGGCATAGTTGAGAATGAATGTGCACTAGTAGTTGAAAAGGCAGAGGAGTTGGTAGAGTTGTTGCAACATGAGTGATGCAGGTAGTTTGCATACAGCTGTTGCGTGATCCTCGCAAATCGAAATACCTGCAGTGGAGATGTGTCGGCCAAGAAGAGTGATCTCTGTCATCGCAAACTGACACTTAGCAGGAGAGAAGTGGGGACCAACCCATTCAGCAGCAGACAGAAGAGTGTCTAAAGACTTCACATGCTGTTTGAGGGTGGGGGAAAACATCACAAGGCCATCTATGTAGACCAGTGCTTGTGTCGAGTGCATCAATCCTAGAAGGCTGACCATGTACTGTTGAAAGTACAATGGGGCATTCCTTAGTCCAAAGAGAATGCGTTTATAATGAAAGAGACCTTTGTGGTATACAAAGGCTGTCTTCCAGCTGTCTGTGGCTTGTGTCTAGTACCGAGAAGTGCTGGTTTCCAGCCAGAGCTTCAAAGAGATCTTTGATGCATGGGAGCAGATACCTGTCTGGCATGGTGGAAGCATTCAGCTCTTGAAAGTCGATGCAGAAACACCACTTCTCACCTTGATTTACCAAGGACAGGATATGAGATGCTGCTCAACAAAGCTTTGATGACATCCCAATCCAACAGCTGGTCCAAGGTATCTTCAATGATTCTGTGTTTCGCGGCCGGTGGGCAAAGGCCTGGTGAGCCCGTCCTTGGCAAAGTTGAGTGGCTCTGCAGTGAATTCAGGCTCTTTGTCCTGGGCCAGGAAAACAAAGGCAATGTTGTTGGGCATGGCACATGTTTTGTCCAGTCCTGTCAGGAGGAAATTGGCAGTGGAAATTGAGATGTCCTGAGGTTCAAGCGGCCAAGCAGTGCCTAAAGAGGTGCCACTGAGTAGACTGTAAGCAGTGTCAGCCAGCTTGGTGATCAGAACATGACTAGTGTTGAGATCCAGTATGGCAGAGGGCTGGGTCACCTGAATGGCGCCATCTGGTGATAACCATGCAGAAGAGTCTAGCATGTACAGTTCCTTCCTGAAGTTTGGGGACAGGGTCCAATAAGTGTCAGGCTGAGCAAAACACACAGCGAGCAAGTGCAAAAGAAGAGCTTTTGATTGCAGTGAGTCTTGGAGCCACCTAATACATGAGCAGACCTCCATGCTTAGTAAGCACCTGCTCCACATGATGCTGCATTGACTTGATCACAGGATTGATATGTTTGAGCATGATCTGGGTGTTCCACACTTCCTCTGCAGCTCTTGCAAGCTCATCCCAGGATGTTGGAACCAGCAAATGCTTACCAAGCAAGTTTTTGAACACATACCATATGTTCTCAATACAGTTAAGGTCCAGTGAAGCCAGCAGGTGTTCCTGTGTCTTAATGTGGTATTCAGCCTGCTGTTGCTTGCAGATAGCAGCCTGATGACAGCTGCTGCCATCTTTGACAACCAACAGGCTGTCAGGGTATGCACTAACAGCAGTTACAGTGTCCCAGAGCAGCCCATCAATGATCCAATCATGATATCTGACAGCTGTGAGGTTCTTGGCAGGATCCCATTGATTAGCTGACCCCAGCTGCTTCTTTCTTGGAGCCAATGGGAGCACAACCAATGGGGTTTTAAGGTTGTATGCAATGCTGGCCCATACCTGGATGCTGAAATGGCCAGAATGGAATGTTGGAACCATGTTGTTGATGTCTTCTTGAGTGTTTTTCTGGCAACTAACCCATGTGCATCCAGGCTGGTAGCCAACCTTGACAGCTGCCTTGTCTGTGAACAGCACACCCCTCCAATCAGTGGTGCTGTTAGCCTTGGCCCATTCTAGATGTTTATGCCAGTTTTTGGCTGTCAGAAATGGCTTTCAGAGCACAATCCAGCAGTTAATACTGGCTTGGTATGCTGCTTTCCAGAGCTGCATAACTGGAATGCCACCAAGCAATGCTGACAGCTGTTGCCATGATAGAAACAGGTTTTTGAGTACCTCATGCTGAAGGTATTGGTCCAAGGTAGCTGTCCAGGAGCATGGACAGCCAGATTGTGCTTTTGTTTTGAAGGTACCATGCTCCTTAAAGTTATGGATGGTCTTGTGAACTGCTGTCTTGGAAATGCCACTTAGCTCTGCAATTTGTCAAATTGGCAGCCCAGTATCATGCATTGCAATGATTGAAGCATGCTTGCTTGTAGAGAGCTCATTGCCATGGACCATATCAGTGTTTGAAGTGTTCTTGATTAGTATGATGGTAGTGCTATTGCTCAATGACGATGATGACCCAAATGCAGGGTAACCAGCTAAATTGGGAAATTACCCAATTGTCCCCAAACTTCGGGCAGGGACTGTATAGTACAGTCCCTGTGCATAAGTTTGGGGACAGGGTCCAATAGACAATAAATCAACTGTCCGATAGCACACCTTCCATCTGCTTGGAGGAGTGATCTTTCATAAGTGACAGACTGAGCAAAACACACAGCGAGCAAGCGCAAGAAAAGAGCTTTCGATTTGCAGTGAGTCTTGGAGCCGACTGATACTTGAGTGGACCTCCATGCTTAGTAAGCACCTGCTCCACACAGTGCTCCATTAACTCGATCACAGGGTTGATATGTTTGAGCATGATCTGGGTGTGGCACACTTGCTCTCAAACCATATGTTGCAAATAGAGCTGAGATCCAGCACAGCCGGCAGCTTTTCTTGCATCTGTATGTTGCATTCAGAGCCTGATGACAGCTGCTGCCATCCTCGACAACTCACAGGCTATCAGGCTATGCACTAACAACAGTCATAGTTTCATGGAGCATGCCGTTGATAATCCCATTGCAATCCCTGATTAAGCGGTTGCGCACCTGGAAGCCTAACATGCATGAAGAACCGGTTTAGATCTGTCTTGCTTTGCTGGGTTAGGTGGTAATGAGGTTGATGTGCAAGTTGCAACTCTCAAGTGACGCGCTATGGCTATAGTATTGTATAGTACAATCACATCGGTTGCCGCACAAGTGTCGGTAGTGTCAATGGCTGCCTACTTGCGTTTGGAAGGATTGCTATCCGGACTGCAACACAGTGCAGTTCTGCCGAAGATGCAGGCTCTGTACAGGTAGGACATGCTGTTGTCGTGGTGTGTCGCATGTTTTTTACAACATGCAGAGGCGCAAGTAGCTACAGGGGAAGTTGGCGATGGGAGAGTGAGATGCGGCGGTAGGCGATTTCATCTTCGTGGCGGAGGAGGTGGGTTCGCTTTGCCGTTTGCTGCGGGCGGTGCTGTTGGTTTTGGTGCGACTGCAGGTTTGGCGGTACGAAGGGGCGGCGTTGGTGCTGCGTTTGCACTTGCACTTGCCGCCGCTGCGTTTTCCGCCTTCTTCCGAGCCAGGACAGCGGCGAATCCACCTGGAGCACCTAGACCAGGCATAACAGCAACGGGAGCAGCACTGCCATCCGCTGCTACAGCTCTAGGTTTTTCATGTGCCTTTCCACCCACCGCAACCGTGTTTACCGCCGGCTTAGGCTGAACACTAACTCCTGCTGCTCCACCACCGCCACCAAAGGTAGGTTTGGCCGCAACAATAGGCCGGTTGGTAGCAGTTGCAGTGCTAGACGTGGCAACGCAAGGCGCCCGAGGAGGAGCACGTTTGACGGGAGCAATGCTAGTACTAGGCAAAGCTTGTGGGATGAGCTCGAGATAGTTGGAAGGAGCCCAACCCTGGATGTTGTTTTTCTTGACGAGCCACCAGCCAGAGCCAGATTCGTCTTTTTGCGTTACTTGGACGATGTCGTCTTTGTCGAGCGCCATTTCGCCGGGGTTTTGGGTTGCGAATGGGTAGAGTGCTTTGTATTTCGGCACTTGCTGCTCAACTGTTGCTGCAGGAGCAACGCTTGCACCACTTACCGGCAGTTTCGCAGGTGTAGGCGTTGGACGAGGAATAGCACGGGGCTTAGGCTTGTTGTTCGCATTCGACGGCCCACCAGCCCTCAACAGCTTTCCTGAAGTAATCGGTCGCACCAAACCGGGCTTCTTCTTGGGCGCAGGCTTCGAGACACTGTTTGCAGCTTCACCCGTGCAGACAGAGACAGTACTACTCTTGTATAGATCGTCCTTGTTGACCGTCTCATCCTTCTTGAAGGTGATGTGCGCCTTCTTGTCCTTCCTTTTGCAATATTCGAGAGAGTTGGAGATGACAACATTCACTGCGCCGTTAGTCCTCTGCAGGAGATGGGTGACGAGTTCCGTCTTCAAGTAACAGTGCAAGACAGGATCGGCTTCCTCTGCACCGTTGACGTTGAGCACTGCCCAATCATCACGGAGGCTCGAGAGACCAACAGCAGAGATGGCACCAAGATTGATGCGTCGCTCGCAAACAGTCGTCACCTGCTTGTTGACCAGCTGAGTGACAAGAATGTAGACTGCCTTGTCGGTCAGAATCAAAAAGCGTGGACTGCGAATGGAAGAACGACCGAGACGCGAGACAAGCAGCTGGATACGGCTGCTGAATGCGACACTCTCGCCTGGGCCCATGCCAGAAGCGTGTCGAAGCATCTGACCTTGGGCACTTGCTCCGCCTTTGCCGCTGGCTCCACCGACATCGAGATAGTCACCCATGAAACGACGCGAACCAAGCAAACTGAAACGCCTACGCTCCTTACGACCTGCAAGCACCTGGTGACCATAATCTCGCAACTGAATGTATTGGAGACCTTGCTTGTTGTTCCTCCACATGCGCTGGATACGTCGAGCGCATTCCTCCTTGTAACGGAGGTAGTTGCGGTAGGCACGCTGGATACGCATAGCCATGTTGTGCCAATAGCGATCGCGCATGGTCTCGAGTGCGAAGAGGGTTTCGGGATTCTTGATGAATGCCTTGGTGACACCCATCTGCCATTCCTCGCGTGCGATGCCGGTGTCGGTGAGGATGCGCTCACATCCAGATCGAGCATCGCCTTGCCAAGTGTACTCTCCTGCATACGAAGTGTTGGGCGACAAGAGGTAGAAACGCTCGACCATCTTCTCGAACGTGTTTCGGTAGGCGAAACCAGCCCGACGAACGCGGATGTTCTCTTGCAGACCCAAATACTTGATCTGATGAAGGATCGCTTGCCTGTCGTACTCGGTAGGGCTCTTGTTCTGGTTGGGCTTGATGGTTCGGATGTAGGATGGCTGTGCCTTCATAAGCTTCTCGACCAAAGCATTAGCACTCGACTTGATACGGTCACCGGCGGTAGGAGGACGCTTCTTGCTGTCAGGGTCAGGGCGGTCAGGGAAGAGCTTCTGCAGATACAAGTTGGCACTCGAGTCGACGAGATCCAAGATGTCTTTGAGGAGCGAGTCCTTGTTCTTGTCGGTCATACCCTCAACATTGTACATCACATCACCAGCGTAGTGCTTGATCAAGAACTTGGTGCCTCGCGAGTCAAAGTGAGGGTTGGACGAGAGCATACCGGTACGCTGAATGAACGAGTTGTCAGCGGCAGTAGGGTCGGCATGGGCAGTGGCGCAAGCATCGTTGAGAGCAGAAAAGATACCAGGAGGCCGCTTCTCCTCGATAAGGTCGCAGACGATCTTGTTGTTAAAGTAGTTGATGGGAGTCCATGTGATCTGCTCGTACGCGTACTCCTCCTGCTCCTTCTTGAGGGTGAGCTGGATGAAGATCTGCTGAAGCTTTTCGTTGACATAGTTGATGCAGAGCTGCTCGAACGAGTTGTTGTCAAAGATCTCGAAACCGTAGATATCGAGGACACCAATGACATTGGCACTCTGGGAGCGAGGGTTCATGGACTGGTTGATGCGCTCGACGATCCAGTCGAACATGTTGTTGTAGATGGCTTTGGCGAGCGCATCTCGTGCAGCAGCAGCTTGAGTCGGGTTCAGTGGGACCTCGTAGACGGAACCTCTTCTGCCACCACGGCGAGTCTCCATGATGCGCTGAGTCAAAGCTTTGGTGACGTTGCCTGCATCGACCTGGAGGAGGTAAGCGACAAAGTCGGGGACGGCAGCATCCGAGATCTCGGCATTGCCCTCTTGGTTCTCGAGGTACTGCACATTTCCAATCCACAGGATGGCTGCGATCATACGAAAGATGTTGTCCTGCTCGTCGGCTGAGAGACCAATGGTGTTCATCGCGTTGATGGTCTCTGCGTAGTCGGCGTGGTCATCGATACCGTTGACATCGAGACACTGGCTGTTGGCAGTGTAGGCATACGCCTCGGGGCCCTGAATGCCGTACTGGTCACGATGGCCTGCGGAAGCGGCTTTGGTGAACTGGTAAAAGATGTGGAAGTTGCGCTCCTCGCGGATCTGTTGAACGACACGGTTCTTTTCAAGAAGGTAGTTGGTGATGTTGGCACCGATGGGTTCGCCTTGTGCGTTGAACATGATTTCCAGGTATTTGCCGTGACGAGAGGAGTTGTTGTTACGAAGCGTCTTGGCACAGCCGAAACTTTCGAGGAGAGGGTTGGTGGCGAGCACCATGTCCTTGACATCTTGAATACCACTCTTGGAACCACTGTTGGAAGTACTAGAGACGGCAGCAATGTACTGCATGATACGCTTTGCCGCTTCAGTCTTGCCGGCTCCGGATTCGCCCGAGATGATAACACACTGGTTCTCCTTGTAAGCGTTCATGTTGTAGTAAGCGCCTTCGGCGATAGCAAAGACGTGCGGGGACATTTCCAAGCGGTTCTTGCCTCGATAGGATTGCAGGATGTCTTCGGTGTAGATGCCAAGATCGCGGAAAGGATTGACCGAGATGAGCACGTTGCCGATGTAGGTGTAGATCTCTGCATTCTTGAATCGTTTCTCGAGGTTTTCGTTGATGGCTTCGTTGGTGAGCTTGGACAGCAACGTCATATCCGAGACACCAGCCTGTGCCTTCTTGAAGCCTTCTCTCCAATCTGCTTTCGCGACACCAGCCCTGGACTTGGCGGGCGGAGGGTTGGAGGCCGCACCGGCCTTCTTGGCGCCTGCCTTCTTGGAGATGGCCATACTGAGACGAATATACGACTAGCGAGTGATCGACGAGGCGATCGAGTGGCGATCGAGTGGCGACCGAGTGGCGACCGAGTGGCGACGATGGCGATGGCGACGGAAACGACGGCTGATCCGAATCGGCTGAATGAGAAGCACGGATGTCTTCCGAAAGATGACTAACCCTGGCAAAGCGAAGCAAGCAAAAAGGGTACAAGAGCAGAGACGGGCGATCCGAACCGCTGACACACCCTTCCACCCAGTCACAGTGACAGAGAAAGAGAGAGAGAGTGTGTGTGTGTGAGACAGAAGAGAGGGAAAGAGTGCCTGCCGATGCGCATTTTCAAAGGGTCCAAAGACTAGCAGCAACGTACGCTGCCTGCGATTCGTGCGAGAAAAGCGAGGCAGAAAAAGAAGAGCCGATTTCAACAGCAGATCGGGTTTCGATCGATCGATCATCACAGCGTGACGCGCAGCAGCTGGGCGAATCGCGTTGGAAGAGCTTGCGTTGCTCAGTTGATATCTCGGCTACACGCCTTGTCGCGATCACAGTCGGCATATATGGTTGCTCAATCAAATTGAATTCAAGGCAAGCAGAGCTCAGAAAGCGCTGTGTCGGAGGTGTTGGATCAGGCCGCAATTCCATCGCGTTGCAGCACTTGTCCGATCACTTGCAACACTTCTTTGCAGCCCGGAGCAGCAAACATGTCTTGAGGATGGTCGATGGCGTGGTCGAGGACAGCGTCGAGCAGTCGTCGCAACTGAGCACATAGCACACCGATCCTCGCGTTTGCGCGCAATCTCACCCAATTCTCGTCTTTGCTGCCCTTTTGCATCGTCTGATTGGATCCAATAGCGATGCCACCAGCAAAGTGGTTGATCTTGAGTTTGCCGCCGAACAGCAGCAATCCGAACAGCGGCACCTCGGTGGCATCCCGCAGGTATACCTTCGAGTCGCTGGCTGCCCCCGTTGCGCTCTTGCTGAACGTCGTCAGGTAGGACGATTGGAATCCTTTACAGCTGAACAGTGTCGATGAGGGATGTAGGAACACGCGACCGTTGCGATCAAAGTACTTGACCTGTCTCGCTTCTGCCTCTCTCTGCACCGTACCACTGGAGCCCTGGTCGAATTTGGCGCAAGGCTGGTCGATTCGAACGACCGATGGCCACAGTCCTGCCAAGATGACCGATCGCAGCAGACCGGTATGCTGCGCATTCCTGTCGTACACCTGGTCATCATAGACGCCAAACGCGCTGTAGCTGTCGGCAACGAATCCCATCTCTTGCAGATGCGAAAGCAAGTCCAGTCGATTCGTCTGCATGTCTCTCAGCGTCGACTGCGAGATAAAGTGGCTTTCAGCCCAGTCTCGAACCTCGTGATTGGCTCGACGTTCAGCTCGCATCGTCTGCCACTCTTGGAAAGCAGCAGCATCGGCGAGCAGATCGCTCCTGCACCCAGCCACTGCAAAGCTTGCTCTCGCTTTGCTCAACTCTTCCCTCTTCTCGAATGGTGCCGAGAAGAGTGGCTTGCAAGACATGATGCTTGCCACCGTCAACATCGGCCCCAAGCAGCCAAAGATGCTTCCCATGATCAGCAGCTTGGCCAGTGCAAGATGCAATGGCAGCTGTGCCAAGTGTCTGCCCAGCGATGTCAATCGGCTCTTGTAGCCCTTGTCGCCCTGCAAGGCACCGGCTTCGATCAAGTTGCTCAGCGCAGCATCCATCGATGCCAGGCTGGGCGGATCTAGCGCCTTGTTCAGGTATTCCCTCACCTCTTCCTCCTCTCGCATCGACTTGACTTGCAAGAACAACGACTCGAGTGGCACCCGACGCATTTCGGGCGTCTGTTGCGCTGCCATCTTGGTTTCGTAGACAAAGCTCGAGTACAGTCGGAAGCATTCTCCTGCTCTAACACGACCAGCACGACCACCTCGCTGCTTGCATGCTGCCCGAGAAGCCCAGCATTCCACCAAGCTCGTCAATCCACTCTCCGGCTCGAAGCGTGTCTCCTTGACGCGGCCAGTGTCCACAACATACGACACATCCGCAATGGTGATCGATGTCTCGGCGATATTGGTCGATACGACAATCTTGCGGTAGCCTGCGCGCACCGGTTCGAACACCCTCCGCTGTTCGTCCGGCGACAGATTGGCATACAGCGCCAGAATCTCGACCTTGCTCTGTCCACGCAACAAAGTAGAGATCGCATCGATCGCAAGTCGAATCTCACCGACACCGGGGCAGAAAACAAGGATGGCTCCACCTACGCTGGCATCGGCTGCTCCCCTGAGCTCTTGGTTCTCTGCTCGTTGGACAACGTATCGCACCACAGCGCCGACGAGTTCGTAGCTCATCCTACCGCCTGAACGAGAGATGCTCTCGACCGTCTTGATCGTCTCATCGTCTACACCCTGCGACTGAAGGTGCGCTCTGAGTTTTTCCATCTCTTGCTCCATCTGCTTACCGCCCCTGGCGCCATATCGCAACTCGTTGCCCGAAGGTCGGAAGCCACTTTGCTTGATAATGTCTTCGAGGTAGTAGTCCTCGACCGGGAAAGTGCGACCTGGGATCGAGATACATGGTGCTTCTCCAAAGTAGCTCGCAAACGTCTCTTGGTTGATCGTGGCACTCATCAGCACCACCTTGATCTTGCTGTTGCGCTTCAGCAGCTCGCGAAGCTCGAGCAGAAGAAAGTCCGAATCGACGCTGCGCTCGTGCACCTCATCCACCACGACGTGCGAGATGCCGTTCAAGTCAGTGTCACCTCCTGCACCCAGCCTGCGTAGCAAGACTCCCGTCGTGGTGAACAGCAGCCTGCATTCTCTTGAGGCTCGACGTTCTCCACGGATTGCGTATCCCACCAAGCTGCCAGAGGCGACTGGCTTCTTGTTGCCGTCCAGGTGCTCACCGCGCTCCAGGGCAACACGCGATGCGACACCAATAGCACTGACTCGACGAGGCTGCGTGACGACAATGTTGCACTCGCTACCAGCGCCTGCTTGGATCGCCTCGTCGAGAATGAATTGCGGTACCTGCGTTGTCTTACCACATCCAGTCTCACCGGCGATGATCACCACACGGTTGCTCCGGATCAGCTCCAGAATGTGTTTGGCGGCTGAAGCAGCAGGAAGAGATTGTCGAATGGCATCCATCTTGGAATAGCTCGGTGAGCTGTGCAGCTCCTTCTGTTGGCGTTGAAGCAGCGAGTCGATCTGCGGGATGCGTTTCAATGGCTTGCTGCCACCGCCTCTACGCTGGTTGCCGCCAGTGTTGCGATGACCAGTTGGTGTGGCAGCGCGAGAGGTCTCCGGTGTAGCTTGCACACGGCCATCATTCTGCTCGTGGGCAACCAGGAATCGCATGACGCTGTCGAGCAGAGGCGGGTCGTCGACGATCTTGGTCCACATTGTCTCGAGCTCCTCTACCAAACCCAACACTACACCGCCATCGCCTGCTTCTACAGCGTCGAACCAGTCGGACCTCTTGTTGTCGCCCTGGAACGCACGAAGCAGGTGTTGAGTCAGTGCCAGCTTGAGATACGAGGGCAGCGTGTTGGAAACAACAAAGAATGCAGGCAGTGCAAACACGTCGACCTTCTGGCGTGCGACAGGGTATAGAGCGTGTGGATGCGTCGAGATGCGCAGACGAACGTCTTCCTTGCCGCCTACTGGCGTTCCTGGTCCTGCGATGCGAATGTCGTAGTCTTGGGCATGCAACCTCTCGTGCTCGGATGGCACTGCTACTCGATCATCTCCCAGCACCGCTTCGACGGCCATACGCTCGTCAGCACGTTTTGCTGCCATCTCGTCCCTATCCGCCTGATCGACTGCGTCAGGGAAAGCTAGAACGGCATCTAGCAAAGCTTGGGATGTCCACTCTTGCTCCTGTTGCTCGAGCGAATCGCATCCAAGCATCTGTCGAAGCAGCATCTCTAGTGCAACGCCCTCCTTGACGGTCCTTGGCAGCTCGGCGGCGGCGATGCGCCTGAAGACGAGGTGTAGAGCGTGCCGTGGGAAGCCTGCTTGCTTGGATAGCTTATCCACCGCCCATCCGATCGCCAGCGCATCGCCTTGTGCACCGGCTATGGATGCGGTGACAAAGCTTTGGGAGGAGGTGCTTGGCTTGAATCTCGCTGGCAAATCCTCCTCTGGTGTGTAGAGCATGAGGTACTCGAGAGCAGCTTCACGGTCGGCAAGATTGGCTGCAGAAGCAAGCATTGGGTCGACAAGAGAAGCGGACGATGAAGAGGGATTGGCAAGTGCTGTCCGTGCAGACGTGAGCCAAGAGATGGCACTGCGGGCGTGTCCAGGTCTGAAGCCGTACGAGGTGAGCTCCTTCTCCAAGCCGGCTGCATCGATCTTTGCTCGAGCCTTGTGCGTTTCCGGGTCTTGATCCTCTTCGATCAAGTCAAGAGGAGCGGTGCTGGCAGAGGGGAAGACGCTCATCGCTCGACGAATGGTAGCTTCGATCTTTTCACGCAACTCACTCGCCAATCGAACCTCGGCAGCTTCCTGCCAGGCTTTGCTCAACGGTTTACCGGCACCATTGAGCTTGCCATTGAGAAGCGCCACCTCGCCTCGACCAGCAGCATCAGCAGCAGCTTGTCGATCTCGCTCCTTGCTTGCTTTCTCGGCCTCCCTCTTTGCTGCAGCCTGAAAGGGATCCGATTGCCACATCCAATCCTGATGGCTCGGTGCCTCGTTCTTGTAGGCCTCCATCTTAAGCCAGTACTCCCTTGGACCTGGTGGAAGGGCAAGGTTGAGGGGGAGATGGTTGAAGATGCGAAAGAGGGCATACGTTGCGCCCCAATGCTTCGCTTCCAAGTTCGACTGGCATTCGAGTCTCAGTGCGGGTTCCTTGGGTTCGAAGACGACGGTGAACGGGTTGCAGGCGTCCTTCTTGTTGGCCTTTTTCAGTGTCACTGCACAGCTGTAGCCTTGTTTGTGTCGACGTGGTTCGACGATGGGCGTCTCCCACCCTGGCAGCTTCTGGATTCGCTCATAGAGCATGTTAAGGGGAGTCTTGCTACCTGGCGGAAAGAGCATCTCTCGGCGGGCCGGCCCAGACGCAGCAGAAGAAGCAGAAGCAGCAGCTGCACCACCGCCATTACCACCAGCACCATCTTTGCTGGCAGGACCATCTGCTTGTGCCTGTGAATTGGTGTAGGACCGAGATGGTTTTGGACCGCCACCTTTGACCCAATCTGGAAGTGGGGATGCTTTTGACGACGTTGTGCCGCTTGATTTGATGGCGGGGTTCTTCTTCCTTGGCGCCATTGTCGGAGTTGAGCAAAAGCTTGCTGCCTTGCTACTTGGACGCAGATGCAAGTATCGATGAAGGTGTCCGGTCAACAAGGTGCACAAAAGCTCGAAAGTGGCAAATTCTAGTTCAACACACGGAACACGGAACACGGAACACGGAACACGGCATTAGGCATTCGGAACTCGAGCGCATTTAATTTTGAGAGAATTTATGTTAGCTCTAGTTCGATCTCACATTGTCCGCCACCCTTTGCTCGTCCGGACCGTCGACAGGCGTCGGCATACGGGCTACACCATAGCCGAGGAGGATGAAATAGTTGCCTCCTTATGCTTCAGCCTTGTCCACAGGGTGGTATGACGACGAAGCAGATGCTACAGAGCGCAACGATGGTGTTGCTCGTGAACAAGGTGGCGCATTGCTCTGCGTCGACGGCGCAGGAAGGGGACAACACACATGGCTGCCGAGGTTCTTTGCAAATACTGCCCACATCTATAACAGTCGGTCGTGGCTTAAGTCTCCTTGCATCTGCGTCTCTTAGGGTTAGGGTTAGATCTCACCTTGGCTTTTATCCGAGGCTGGTGGGGGGGGAGGGGGCGAATCATGTCAAGACTCAAACCCACCTTTGATACTTGAGAGCTGGTGGTGGCCGTTACTCTCCCCGATGTCTCGTGGGTTCTTCATACTCTCGCTTCCGCACCCACTTTGTTGGCAAGGACGCATAACCATGTCGTCGCACGCAGCTCTACCTTTTACGTCCTCAAGTCACAGCGATGAGGATGGGAAAGGTCTTGATCACAAGGGCCGGGGTCGAGTCAACCTCGAAGGAGCCCTCTCGGTCTCTTTCTCCGGCACCTGCACATCCGAAGCAGATGGACGGTGGCACAGTAGCCTGGTTGCAAGTGGTAGCCTCCTTCCTGCTCTTCTTCAACTCTTGGGGTCTCGTCAACACCTATGGTGCATACCAGACTTTCTACCATTCCCATCTCCTAGCGAATGAATCGGATTCGAGCATCTCGTGGATCGGATCCGTACAAGCTTTCCTCCTCCTCCTCTTCGGTCTACTCACCGGCCCGCTGTACGACAGAGGCTATCTTCGAGCGCTCAACATCGCCGCAACCGTTCTGATCGTGCTCGGAATGATGATGACGAGTATCAGCAGGCACTATTACCAGATCATGCTCGCCCAAGGCGTGTGCACGGGACTGGGGATGGGTTCGATCTTCATTCAGAGTATAGCCATCCTCTCGGCTTACTTTACTGAGCGACGTGCTCTTGCAACTGGCATCGCCGTATGCGGGAGTAGCTTGGGAGGCATCATCTATCCTATTGTCTTTCAACGCTTGCAGCCTAGCATCGGTTTTGGCTGGGCGACAAGAGTGCTCGCTTTCATCGTGCTCGCCACTCAGAGTGTTGCAGTGGTACTGATGCGACAACGGCCAGGGACAACGACAACCAGACCACGAGCTCTGATCGACCTTTCCGCCTTAACCGAACCTCCAATGCTCGTCTTCTCCTTTGCCGCCCTCTTAGCATTCATGGGCCTTTACATCCCTTACTACTACATTGCCATCTACAGCCAACACAAGGTTCCGAACATGCCCCCGTGGCTGCTCCCCTACCTGGTCCCGCTCCTCAACCTTGGCAGTGTCTTTGGCCGACTGATACCCAACCTGCTTGCCGACAAATTTGGCTGCCTCAACATGTTTGTCGTCACCAGCATCTCGGCCTCCATCACCGCTTACGCATGGTTAAGCGTGGACAGCGTACCCAAGCTCATCCTCTTTTGCATCTTCTATGGCGCCTTTTCGGGCAGTTACGTCGCATTGCAAGGTCCAACCGTGGCTATGCTGACCCAAGACAAGTCGAGGTTGGGATCGCGCATGGCAACCTCCTGCGTCTTTGCCGCCATCGCCGTTCTCATCGGCAATCCTGCTGCCGGTGCGATCATCAATGTGGAAGCGCGGCACTTCAAGCCGGCTCAGATCCTTTGTGCGACGTTGATTGTGGGAGCGACAATGTGTCTGATGTTGACAAGGTATCTTTGCGCTGGGAACAAGGTGTTTGTCAAGGTGTAGGTCACCAGGCTCGAATGCAAGCAAAAGTCAAGACTGTCGCTCTAGCTCATCGTCCGCAACGAGGCGCCCAGTCGCTCATTCCAATGCTCATCTATCAGAGGTCGGTCGGGAGCCTCTGTCAGATGTACCTAACCACCTGTTGATATACGTGGACTGATGCAAACGGGCCAACGGATGGGATACAATCTACATGTCAAAGCTTTGACTACCACTGAGGAAACCAAACCTTGTCGTTCCTGTTGTTGAGAGTGTTGAGGGTAGCGTCGCCTTGAGTAGCCGTGGTTTGGACAGACTGGTTTTAGGCTCGCAGACAACAGGGGAAGATGGTAATTCTCATAACTATCTACAGTAAACGAGTGCGACTATTTATGTTTGCTAGAACCAAGTGAGACACGGTGGTCAAGGAGTCCCAAGCCCCTCAACCTATGTCAATGCAGGGATGCATCACAAGGAGGTCCATCCCCTTGACCCTTATATCGGCAATATTGGCATGATGCCACCAATACGAGGTCAAGTCAACCTCCAACACTCCTCCTATTGGTGGCCAATCTACTTGGCAAGGACACCCAAGTCTTTGCATGACTTGTTACTCCTTCTAGCATTGAGGAGCTTAGTGAAACCATCTGCAATCTGTAATTCACCTGGGATCCACTTAATGACAATGAGCCCTTTCTTGACTGTGTCCTTGACATATGCCTTGTGGAGTGTGAGTGCCTTGTTTTGTTGAGGCCCATCTGAGGATGTAACCCATTGTGCAGCCTGGTTGTTGGTGTGGAGCACAACCCCTGCATTGCTGTTGCCAATGAGACCAAGGCCCTTGACAATGTCAATGAGCCAATCAATGTCATGACATGCATCACTGAGGGCCACCACTTCTGCCTCAGTGGTTGATGTTGATATGATCCTCTGCCAATGACTCCTCCAAGCTATGGCTCCTCCAAATATCATTAGCACAAAACTGGATGTGGAGTATGGGTTCTCCTTCCAGCTTCCAGCATGGTTGGAGTAGGCGAGTGGCACCTTGTTGTCGTCATTGAGAAGGTACGTCAGCCTGCTGCTTTGTGTATATGAGATGTAGTGGAGAAGGTGGCAGGCTTGGTTGAGATGCACCATTGTTGGTGAGGAGAGATACTTAGCAAGGTTCCTGACTGCAAATGCAAGGTCTGGTTGAGTTGATGTCATGAGGTACATGACAGAGCCAATCATCTGCTGATAGACTGTCGTCTGGGCCTTGTTTAACATTTGGTGACTTGCATCCTCTGGGCTGAGGTTTACCGCTGATGGGTCCAGTGGTGCCTTCACAGTGTTGGCCCTTGCCATGCTGAAGCACTCAAGGATGATGTTGATGTAGGACACCTGGCTGAGTGACACTGTGGTCCTGTCTTGTGATTGCTGGATGTGGACCCCGAGGCACCACTCAGCATCCTCATTGCCCGTGATCTTGAACTGTGCACAGATTGTAGTGATTATGCAAACCCCATGTCATGGGACTGGATGGATGTGCAGGAAGAACGGAACTCATATGAAGAGATCTGGCACAACCATTGTGGAATGGGCGAAAATAGAGTTCCAACAGAGTTCAGTGAAATCAGTAGGAACAATGGCTCTACAACATAACTCATTGTGATTGGTAGGAGCATGGGTCTTGTTACAGGAGTAGAATCAGCAGGAAAGTAGAGTTCCAACAGGGATCAGTGAGATTGGTAGGATCAATGACTCTATGACATAACTTGTCATGGTTGGTAGGAACATGGGTCCTATTACAGGAGTCAGTGGAATCAGCAGGATCATGCTTGCTACAACAGGCCTCATGGGAATTGGCTTGAGAGAAACCTCTATCCCCAATACAGTGAGGGGATGGCAGAGAACAAGGGAAGAGTCACCACCATATGAAGCAGGGACCTTGCACAATGATGAAGTTGGTGCTGGCAGATGGGTGCAGGCGACAGGAGGGAGATGAAAAGATGCAGGTCGCCTTAGGGTTAGGGTCCTAAGTTTCAACCGCTTCGCAACAACACACAATGCAAGTGCAGTCCAACCTTGATGGCTCTCGTTGACCCCACCCTTCTGCAAGTTCCAGCACGTCGACTGGCACTCAGTCGACTCATCCAGCAACTTCTCACACTTCGCCTTCGCCTTTGTCTTTGTCTTCTCCCAGCTGGTTCTAACACCACCACATCCCACAGTTCTTTTCCACACCCAGCCTCTACCTGCCAAACTCAAATCTTTTCAGCTTGCAGCCTTCAACCTAGTACTTGTTGCAGCAGTTTTGACAACACACATCGTATTGGCTACTTGAATTGGTCCCCTAGCAACATAAATCGCCTAGCCCTAGCCGGTGTGTCTTGCTTGCGGGCAACGCACAATTGCGCTCCGCCAAATTCGAAATTCACACGACTGCGTTGACCCCCAATGCACTCGAAATTTACACTGCTCAAGTGCTGCAATGCAAACAAATTTATTTTCGCTGGAGCAGCGCAAATTGAGCAACGCACAGCTGGAGCAATGCACTCACAGCTGGAGCAATGCACTCACAGCTGGAGCAACACACACTCTGCTGGAGCAACACAATCTGAGCAGCGCACAGCTCGAGAGCAATGCACTGTTCGAGAGCAACACACAGCTCAAGAGCAACGCACTGCTCGAGAACAACACACTGTTTGAGAGCAATGCACTCACAGCTGGAGCAATGCACACTCTGCTGGAGCAGCGCAATTTGAGCAATGCACAGCTCAAGAGCAATGCAGAGCTCCAGCACAACACTTGCACTTACACCCCACAACTACTCAGCCTTACAACTCCTTTGTCGACATCATGAGCCTCCTTTGCACTCTTAGGCCTTTGTTCTTGCTGCCACTACTTCTCATCATCACCGCACAACATAATCACCACTTGTCTTCATCAGCTGTTGTTCTCTCTCATGCTCACACCTCACTACCACTCTGCCTTACAACACCTTTGTCGACATCATTTCTCTCTCACACTCACACCTCACTACCGCTCAGCCTTACAGCACCTTTGTTGACATCATTTCTCTCTCATGCTCACACCTCACTACCAATCAGCCTTGCAACACCTTTGTCAACATCATCAGCCTTTGTCCTTTATGCTCTCACACCTTTGTCGACATCATTAACCTTTGTTCTTACACTCTCACACCTTTGTCGACATCATCAGCCTTTGTTCTTACACTCTCACACCTTTGTCCTTTATGCTCTCACCCCTTTGTTCTTGCCACTGCTGCTTTTCTCACCATCACCACACATCACCATTGTCACTTGTTTCCTCCAGGCATTTGCTCATCATCAATCCTTAGTCAATCTTCAACCCTTTGTTCTCATCATTGCTTTGTTGCACATCACCTTTCACATCACTGCCTGTACTCTATTCCCACACTCAGCAATCCAATGTTGTTGTTCCCCATCATCATTGTGTGTGTGTCTGCACATGCATCCTTTGACTTTGTCATTGCCAACACCTGAGCTCCTCAGCATTAGCATATATACCAGCCCTCTTTCACAGCTATGGCAAGTCTCCTCAATGCTCACATCTCTCAGCACCATACCACACCAGCAACATCTAGCTCTTCTTGCTGCTAACACCAACCACAATCTACAATGTCTCAATCATCTTCCATCTCCATCGGTGCCAGCATCAACACTGCTGCTGCAGTCAGGTACATGCTATTATCCTCTTCCTTTGCCTCTTCCTATTGATCTCCAACTGACCAGTCTCTGTCTCTTACTGAGCTTTGCTGTCACTGTCACAGTAGCAGCATCAACCCCTTCACTGAAAGCCAAGTTCCTCTTGCCATCATCAAGAACCTTGCGATGCACAGTGCCAATGCTCTTTCAAACCCTGATGATGCTTTCCCATCTCCAGTAGCTGATGACCTTGCTCCTTCTGATGCCATTGACAGTGATGATGACTTGTATGTACACTGCTTCTCTCTCCAGTGTATCTTCTTGATCAGCATCAACTGACGTCACTTGTGCTATCTATGCTCTCCTTGTCATCAACAGCACTTTGCTGCTCCCTGCTGCCAACCAGACTGCTCTTGCTGCTCCAGTTGATCTGAAGGTTGCCAACCAGCTTTGCAGCTTCCGCCTCCGCCTCCTCCAGCACCCTTCTCTTCTCCTCTGCACTTGCCCTGAGTGCACTCACCACCTGCCGCTCATCCCAACCTATGCCAATGTGTCTCAGCACCTCAAGTCCCACCATCATCCGCTCACCAAGACTGGCATCAAGCTGTTGGAGGAGACACTCCTTACTCTCAACCTTGTCAGCCCTGCTACTGTCAGCATCAACACCAATCTACTCCCCATCAACCTCATCAAGGAGCTTGATACATTTGATGGCTACTGTTGCAGTATCTGCGAGTATGCTGTCAAGTCGAGCTCCTCTGCATACAAGCACCAGCGCAGCAGCCATGATGGCAAGGCTTCTGTCATCCACCCTGTTCTCATTCAGCCCATCTTCACCAGTGGTCCCTTCACCCGCTATGTGTGGGTCTTCAACAGCAAGCTCGAGCCTACACCCCCTCCTGTTGCCTTCAACATCAACACCAACATCAACACAGAGGAGGATGCAGCTTTCAAGGAGCAGCTGGAAGCATTCTTTGCCAAGGATGCAGAGCTAATGGCAAAGGCAGATCTGGACATGGAGGGCATTCAACCACGAACTGTGACTGGCAATCTCAGCCCATGGCTCAAGCAGCTAGGCTGGCAGGAGTACTGGGCTGGCAAGCCAGTGGCAGCCATTGGTTCCCTTGGCTGCAACCCTCACAAGTGGCCAGGTGCCCACCAGGACTTCCTTCACTGGCTGCTTGGCATGACACAACAGTGTACGCAGCAGTGGATGGAGGCACTTCTTCAATCTGGCCGCCAGGTGCAGCAAACCTTCCATGCCTTTGATGACACCCCTAGCCATCCATACTCCCTTGATCAACCCACAGTCATCAAGTGTGCTGACTGCTGGGCAATGCTCATCACCATGCTGGCTCATGTCATGCTAGATGGCAAGGTTCTTGGCTACTATGGTGATGATGATCAGGATGCACACCTTGGCATCAGTGAACAGCTTGCAGGGCTCTTTGAGGACCTTCAGGACCTCTTCCATGATCCCAATCTGGATGTTGATGTCTCCATGCATCCTGATGTGGTTTTGCAAGCATTTAGTGGCATCCAGTCGATCAGTGTCTACCTCATCACCCAAGATCCTCCTGCCTATGGTGAGCTGGAACGTCTTCCTCTGCTACGCACCTTCCTCCACCTCTGCCTCTCTCCTGATGGCACATCCAAGCCAGTCAATACAGCAACCTCGATCCTGGTCAACTTGGAGTTTGCATTCTGTGCAGTGATGCATCACCACCTTCTCCACCCAGAGCATGGCACTCTCATTGGCAAGCCAGTCCCAGAGATCAACAAGGGGGTTCAAGCAGTTATGAAGCATTACCTGTTCAACAACAGCTACTCGGCAAGTGCTCATCTGCAATCCCTTCTCTGCTATGGGACCAAGCTGGCTAAGGATGATGGCAGCAGCCTCTACTTCCGGTGGTCTGAGGATAGGACACTGGTGACTTATGGCACCAACACAATCAAGATCAGCCACCTTCACACCCTTGTCCAAGGCACCTTGGACCATGCCACCTCTCTGTTGGAGCAGCTGCTGCTGAAGGATGGTGCCTTGTCCAAGCATGTGGATCTGTCTACATACAAGGACCACTTCTGCAACAGGGAGCCGGGCTACAGCTTTGTTACTGCTACAAAGCAAGATACTGGCACCTTTTGCCTCCATCAGGCTCTCAAAGGCTTTCCTCAGCATCAACCACTCCTTGATACTTGCTCAGCAGAGCCAGAGTTTGACATGGCTGCTGCCCATGCCTACTTTGCCCTTCACAATGAGTTCAACAAGCTCCTTGCTGTGCTCATTGAGCTCACCAGTGGTCTGCCGGCAAGAGGCACAGAGCTGGTCAAGCTGCAGCACACCAACACATTGGTCAGCCAGCACAACCTCTTCCTTGCTGATGGTCACTTTGTCACTGTGCTTGCCAGCAACAAGGGCAAAGGTCCATCCAAGCTCATCCCTCACTTCCTCCCTCATGCTGTTGGCCAGCTGGTGCTCTTTTACGTCATGGAGGTAGTGCCTTTCCTGCACCTCCTCTTCAACTCAGTAGAAGTTGCACAGGAGCCAAGTGCTCTCCTCCTTGTCAATCACAGGGGTCAGCCATGGCAGACCAATGACATCAGCAAGACATTACAGAGTCTTTGTCAGGAGTTTGTTGGCCCATCAGCAAGTTCTCTCCACATATGCAACTGGCAGCAGCTGTCAGTCAGCATTGACAAGGTGCTCATCTGGCCTGGCCTTCCCTCAGAGGAGTATGCTGACCATTCTCACGACTTGCAAGCTGGTCACTCCACGTCTACTGCTCAGCAGCACTATGGTCTGGACAGCAGCATGCTACTTGAACTGACACAGGAGAGCTTGGATTGTATGCTCTCTGTCTCCAAGAGGTGGCATGCATTCTGGTGTCTGGCTTCACACTACCAGGATGCTGTGCAGCCATTGGATGCAGCAGCACCTCCTCAGGCAGGCTCTGCATGTGTCAATGCTGCCTTGCCTGTGGATCTCAAGTGCAAGTTGGACAAGTTGGACAAGTTGGAGGAAGATGTCTAGCACATCAGGAGAAAGGTGGAGGAGAAGCCATCTGCTTCCCTTGCAAACATCATCCCTCCTGTTGTCGAGAACCACCGTTTGGCTGTAATACCTCCTGTGGTCAGAAAAGCCCTCTTCAAGGTCACCGGTAGCCACTGTACCAAGACAGTGGAGTAGGCATATGCACTCAATGCCATTCACAGGCATGAGTCACCACTGATCATTGTCATGGCAACAGGCACTGGCAAGTCTGCACTCTTCATGACACCTCTTTTTGGCTTCCTCCTACCTCGGTGGTGGTGGTGGTTGTACCATTCATTGCACTCATGGAGGACCTACTGGAGCAATGCAAGCTTGTTGGGATCGTTGCAAGCAAGTGGTCTGGGTACAACTGTGCCAAGAAGGTGGAGGGAAGTCAGCTTGTGTTGGTGGCTGCAGAGAATTGCTACAACGAGCACTTTGGCAGCTGGGCACAGGAGATGGTGGAGCAAGAGTGCCTGGCAGCCATCTTCTTTGATGAGTGTCATGTCTGCATCACACAAGACTCCTTCCGGCCATCAATGGCAAAGATCAAGCAACTGATCACCACTGTTCCAGTGCCTCAGTACTTCCTCACTGCCACCCTGCCGCCAAGCCTCCTGTTGACCTTCAAGGCTGCACTCTGTCTCCCACAAGATGGCACTGGTATCATCCATGCTGCTACCAACTGCAACAACATTGCCTACTCTGTTCAATGGCTGCCATCCTCTGCAACCATGGACTTTTACTTGCAGCAGCTTCTCCAATCCCATCCCCATGGCTCCATCATGGTCATCTGCTGTTCAAGGATAGCTGCCGAGACTACAGCCAGGTTGCTGAGTTGCCAGTGTATCTGGTCAGAAATGGAGCAGGCAGACAAAAAGGCTATCCTCTTCTCATGGCTTGCCTCTTCAGCAGCAGAGATGGATAACAGCAAGCGTGTCTTGGTGGGCACAACAGCCATTGGCACTGGCATCAATCCTCAGCATGTCAGCTTGGTTGTGCACATGGGTGGAGCATATGATATGGTCAGCTATGTGCAGGAGTCAGGATGTGCTGGCAGGAGTGGTCAGCCAGCCAAGGCAGTGATGATGGTCTATGATGGTGTATGGTTGGAGGACAAGGTTGATCTGTATGTCAAGGAGAAGGTGTGCAGACATGTAGCTATCTCTAGCTACATGGACGGCATGCCCCTCACCTGTCTCAGTCAGCCAGACCTTGCTCTCTGTGACCTCTGCAGTCAATGTGTTGCAGGTGATGCAAAGACTCTGCCAAAGCCAATGACATCTATCAACACACCTCCAAGGTCCGACAAGTCTGAGCATTATCAACAAACTGCCTCAGCTGCTTCATCTTTGCTCTGTCCAGCCAATGCAGCAATGTCTCTACCTCCTTCTCTGCAGAAGATACAGTATCAGCAGGGCATGGCCAATCTCAGCTCACTGGCTCAGCATCCAAGTAATGCTGCCAAGAGCCCTGTCAACATCCCCTCCACCATTGATCTTCTCCACAAGTTGTCCAAGCAGTGCTCCCTCTGCTACCTCTTTGGTCATCAGCATAGCTGCATTGGAAAGCATGGTGCTGACCATGCCTTCATATCGTGCAAGTGTTGGCCCCTGATTGAGGCATGCATGCCTCAGTGGCATGAAGGTCAGATCAATGGAACTCACCTTGGTCAGGTGAAGAATCAGATGAGGAGGGACAAGCCAAAAGGAGTTGCCTGCTACACATGTTACACTCCTATACACACCTGCACAAACAGCAGCTTGGCTCCAATGAGGGGATGCACAAAGAGGTATGCTGATATTGTGCTACCAGTAGTAGCTGTTGTGCTCTGGCACAAAGAGTTCAGGGAGAGGATTTGCCAGGAACTCAAAGTTGATTGCTCAGACATGTCACAGCTGGAACTTGACCTTTGCAGTGCATTCACATACAAAGGAGAGAAAGTTTCCCTTGCATATGCCATCTTTGTCATAGCCATGGAGAATGCTTCCATGTTGTAGTTGTAGCTGCACACATTAACACAGTGAATGGTAAAGGTGATGCAGTATAGCCTTGGGTAAGAGTGAGAGTTTCACACAGCACACAAAGTTGCAAGTAGTAACATCAAATCAGAGTTGTATCACAGGAGAAAGGCAAGACACATCAGGGAAAGGTAGGCAGAGGCTGGAAGAGCTTCCAGGCTTCAAGACATTCTTGCCGGTAAGCATGCTTCTGCTCCTCTGAGGTGTTGGCTGCTCTGCCATCATAGCCCTTCCACTTGGCCACATCACTGGACATGAACATGGTCATGGATCCACGGGTCTCTCCCTCCAGTATCGGAGAGTTGAAGTGGTGCAGCACATGGGATGGGAAAAAGCAGAGGGCACCAGGAGGAAAGTCAATGCTGACCTTGGCCTCAGTGAAGCTGATCTGCAGCTGGGTATAGTCACCATAGCTGAACACACCAGCCAGACCTTGGAGATAGTCATGCCTGTCTCTGTGAGGCAGACTGTATGCCTGACCCTCCTGGTTGATGGCAATGGAGGGAAATGCAGGAGCCCAAAGGAAAGCACCATGGGGATGGTAGTGGTCTGAGCTGCCAATCTCCATGTAGTGGCTTGCATGCTCAGGGAAGCACTCAAAGAAGCATGTGTTGCAGTATTCACAGAGGGCTGTGACATGCTTGCTGCACAGGAACTTGATCATCTCCCTGTAGTTCTTGACAAACTTCAGGTTGAAGTATGGTCCAGGCATACATGCTGAATCTTGTCCACTGAGCATGAGATGGTAGGTGAAGAAATCTCCATGCAGAGACTCCACTGGTGCACTGGCTGACCTTGGAAGCTCAGCTTGGAGGCATCTGAACTCCTGGTACATCTCTTCAAACCTGGGACAGTCTGGCTTCTTGACCACACTTGCATAGTGGAGACTGTTCTTGTCGACCAGGTGAATGACATCTTCCTGACCAACAAAGCACACTGACTGGAATCCAGTGGTGTCAGGCTGCACACTGAGCTTAGGCAACTGATGCTCTGCATGAAAGAACTCCTTCAGATCAAGAGCAGTGGTCACAACTCTAGCCAAATGGTTCTGTAGCTTTGAGCTCAGTGTCAGACCACCCACCTGCTTTGCATTGTCCCAGCCTAGATAGTGATCACTCTTTGGCGTGTACTGTTTCACAAGGAGCTTTGATTGCTTTTTAGGATGCTTTGGAGCGTCCATCTTGATGATACCCTTGGCTAATTCAAGAGTGAGAGGCTTCAGAGTCAGTTTCGAGCAAGTTGGCATAGCATCAAGAGCTTTTTTCAACTCAGAAAGGTCATTCTTGACTCTTTTCTCTGCCTTGTTTTGTTCCTTTTCACTGGAGAAGCCTCTCGAGCATGTAGCATGTCCCTGAGTCCCTTCAGGACGCTTGTTGGCCTTGCTGGTCACCATCTTGAAGGGTGATATTGCTGGAAAAACCAAGAGCAGTAAAAAAACCAGCAGCAAAACAAAGTGAATGCAGAAACAACTCTAAACTAATGCTATGGACTTTGCTTTCGAGATACTGATAAGCAATAAATAGAAGAGCAAATCCTGAAAAGCGCAGCTCCTGACAATGTATATAGGATGCACTATAGTGAAATGAAAAGTGAAGTATAAAAGAAATCACAGAAAAGTGGAAAAATTACTTCAAGCCAAATGCTTCAGCAGACTATTGGAGAACAGCCTCGAGTGTCTTGATGCAAAATTTGAGCGAAATCGCTTGAGATTTGGGTCCAATCTTGAAGAATCTTGAGGATTTTTTGGACAAAAAACGACTTTTTTGAACAGATACAGTGAAGTACCCTTCCAACAGCTTTGAAGCGAGGCTGGCCAGGCCTATGTGCTCTAAGCGTCAATGAAGGGCAGGTCTCTTGTGCAGGAGCTCTGTAAGGCACCTAGGATACCTAGTCAAGAGACAACACAAGATTTCCAATGAACAACGTCACTTGGATGTCTGCTTGCAGTACATGGTTCGAACGAGCTTGAGGAGATGAAGAGAATGAGCTATAGACATCAAGAATCGAATCACAGGGAGAGGAGATATAGTCAAAAGAGATTTGTCACTATGCATAGTATATATACTTACTTTTTCCGGCCTGTGCGCTTTAGAGGGTCCTTAAGAAGCTGTAAAGATGTCGAAGATATGTGTCCTAAGTAAACCAGGGTCCAGGAGTTCGAATCCGAGGTTGAAAAGGAGGGTTGTCTTGATGGATATCGAGTAGGAGCACAACTTATGATGCAAAAAAAGTCGGCTCCTCAAAAGAAAGGTCTTGAGAGAGTCAGAAATATGTGTCCTAGCTAAAACAGGGTCCAGGAGTTCGAATCTGCTAAAAAAACAGAGGGTTAATTTGCAGAAAAACATAGGAGGGTGAATTGTAGAAGTATCAAAAAAGCGACCTTGCTCCAGATGGGGTATATATGCTGTTTTAGCTACCTGAAGATAGCTCCTTCGGCTCCTTCACATGGAGCCTGTGCTGTGTGCAAAGTTTCAGTGCAACAGAAGCAGTATCTGTGAAGCTAGATCAAAAGACAGTATAGTGTGAAACCAAAATTTCGGCTAGAGGGGTCAAAACCTGGCCGATTCAAGCATGTGATAGCTTGTTCTGCTCCTTCACACTGCACCTGAGCTGTGTGCGAAGTCTCAGTGCAAGAGCAGCGGTTCCTGTGAAGCTAGAGCAAAAAATCGAAGTACTATAGTGTGAAATCAAAATTTCAGCTAAGGAGGTCAAAAATTGGCCGATTTGAGCGTGTGATAGCTTGTTCTGCTCCTTCACACCGCTCCTGAGCTGTGTGCGAAGTCTCAGAGCAAGAGCAGCGGTTCCTGCAAAGCTAGAGCACATTTTCAAAGTACTATAGTGTGAAATCAAAATTTGGAGCAGCACAGGCCTGAGCACACGTTCGAAGCACTGCACTGCTTGACAGCGAAATTAAGAGCAGCGCACTGCTGGACAGCACACTCTGTTGGAGCAGCACAATTAAAAGGAGCACATTTCGAAGGAGCGCAAATCGAAGCAGCACACACTCTGCTACAGCAGCGCTATCGAGAGGAGTGTCATGGGCCTGGATGCTCAAGAAGCAGGAGGGTCACAGGTTCATATGGAAGGAGCACAGGTATCGAAGATCTAGTTGATACCAGTAGAGAGCATGGTCATAGTGCAGTCTCCATGGAGACCATGGACTCCTATGGACTCACATGCAAAGGAGGACTGGGCCCATATGCAAGGAGGGCTGGGCACAGCCACGAAGAGGACCAAGCTCAAGGAGCAGGCACAGCCACGAAGAGGACCAAGCTCAAGGAGCATACAGATGGTTACCACTCAGGGGCTCGAGAGACAAGAGCCAAAGGAACTGTCACTGATCAAAGGAGAAGGAGCAGTGTCGAAGGAGTCGACACCAGGCCATGAGGAGGAGGAGCAGTGTCAAAGGAGTTGACACCAGGTCATGAGGAGGAGGAGCAGTGTCGAAGGAGTCGACACAGCTCAAGAGGCACAGGGGTGCCAAGCAGGAGAGGCCCCTGAGCAGTACTTGATGAAGAAGGTACTCTCTGGAGAGAGAGCAGGAGCAGCATTGCTGGCGATGCTGAGTAGAGGTATATAACCATGCTTTCTCATCATCATAGGTCGAGTGGATCCTCATCCACTCTACTCACCATACAACTAGTCAATACTTTAGAAACACAAGTACTCATTAGTTACAGTCAGCATAGCAGCAATCTATCAAGGTTGCTCCTCATTGTAGTGTGTGTGTTGTATCACCACTACCTGACGTCCGAAGGCGCCCATAGCAGGTTAGCAGTCTGGATATAGATAGAACCGAAGGCAGTAGTCCACTGCGGTCCGGGGATCACTTCAAGCATCAAGTCAACACACTGGACACTCGTGTTGATGCCACCAACCTTATCACCAACACCATCAACCTCATTATCATCGACATCACCAATCTCATCACCAACACCATCAACCTCATCATCATCAACACTCACACCAGACCTTGGTGACATCATAACCGAAGCATTGATATTGATTGTGCTGAGCTACCCCTGAATGGAGTGTCCACAGAGGTCAGCCGAAACCTACAATAGTATATACAACGAACACCACCTGCTGTCACTGCACAACTTGATAGTCACCGATACCGAGACAATAGCTGTCACACAGTTTGATAGTCACCGAGTATCTCGACAGACCGACCTGGGTTTCAGGCGCGAGACCCCTGACACGGTGATAGTACTGATACTACTACTGATCTCAGGTTTCAGGCATGCGACCGCTGACACCAGTCTGTTGTGAATGAAGGCGGCCTGGGAGATAGCATATGGCCACCAGCGTTTGGCCACATTAGCATCATAGAGGATGCTTCAGGTGATCTTTTGAATGATTTGGATTGCCCATTCTGTGAACACATTGTCAGAATGCTGTTGGGTTGGGGAGGCAGTGACTTTCACACCTGTCGAGGAGCATAGATCTTGAAAGGTGGTGGACCATAACTCGCCTTCATCCACCCTCACTTCTTTAATACCATGATCAAATACTACTTCTGAGGGCTTCTGAAGTGTGGTGATGCAAACCTCGGAGAACCACCATCCTGCCTCTTGAGCTGCTTGACCCTTGTTCATCAGTCCTCATATCCAGATCATACCTGAGTATGCATTGTGAATGATAAGGACATAGGCAAATGTCGTTGTGCCATGCAGTGGTCCCATTACATCCATGGACACTAGCTCAAGTGGCGCTTTAACGTGCTGAGGATGAGCTGTGTGTCAGGGGTCTTGTGCCTGAAACCCAGGTCGGTCTGTTGAGATACTCGGTGACTATTGTCATCAGTCGCGTGCCTGAAACCTGAGATCTGTGGTAGTATTGATACTATCACCGATTCTGTTGAGTTATGTGACAGCGCTAATGGTATTTCGATTCCTAGTGAAATATGTGACAGAGCCTTCTCTGTCACCTTTCTCATTGGAATCTGTAGTTGTATTATCATTATGACAGATTTCAACTAACTGCTGTGGACACTCTGTCCAGAGGTAGCTCAGCACGATCAAACTATGATACGACTCTAAGTGAACTTGATGTTGTCACCAATGGTCTGGTGTGAGTATGGATTGATGATGCCGACATGAGTGTCCAGTGTGTCAACTAATGCTTGAAGTGATCCCCAGACTGCAGTGGACAACTGCCTTCGGTTCTATCTTAATCTGGACTGCTGGTTTGCTAAGAACTGCCTTCAGATGTCAGGAAATGGTGATACAACACATGCACTTCGATGAGGAGCAATCTATTGATTACTACTATACTGACTATAAACTCATGATACTTATGCTTAAAGTAATACTAGTTGTTTATGGTATGAGTGTGTAGAGTGGATAAGGATCCACTCGACCATTTGTGACAAGAGGGTATGACTATATATCTCTTCGCAGCATCGCCAGCGACACTGCTCCTGCTCTCTCTCTCTCCAGAGAGTACCCTCTTTGTCAAGTACTGCACAGGGATCTCCAAGGAGGCACCTCCTCCATATCAAGCCTTGTCCCTCCTGTCTTTCCTGAGCTGTGTCAACTTCATCGACACTGCTCCTCCTCTTCATGTCCCTTTCGCTGGTGTCCTATACACAGATCTCCTTCCTTTGACTGGCAACAGTTCTCTTCTACTCCTGTCCTGTGGGCTCCTGAGTGGTAACCAACTGCATGTTGCTGAGCTCGGTCCTTCTCGTGTGTGAACCATTGTATGGACATCCTTACTACCAATCTCTGTGGAATCTGCCACACAATCTCGCTTGCTGCAGATTCTGGTGGGATTCATGATATCGACGATGCTTGTGCCGATTTCACTGTGGTCTGCCATAGAGCTGGTTCTATTGCCAATCTCGGTGAACTCTGTCACAGCTCCTATGATCTACCCAATTCCACAATTCCTGCACTACCTTCATATGAACTTCGGTCTTCCCTCGTTCTGCACACCCAGACCCATGACAACTATCAAACTGTGTGACAGCTATTGTCTTGGTATCAGTCTCGATGAGCTATGTTGCTTGGCAACTATCAAGTTGCGCGATGACAGTGGGTGGTGTTTGTTGTATATACTATTGTAGGTTTCGGCTGACCTCTGTGGACACTCCATTCAGGGGTAGCTCGGCACAATCAATATCAATGCATAGATTATGATGACACCAAGGTCTGGTGTGAGTGTTGATGATGATGAGGTTGATGACATTGGTGATGAGGTTGATGATGTTGGTGATAAGGTTGGTGAGTGTTGATGATAATGAGGTTGATCGTGTTGGTGATAAGGTTGGTGGCATCAACACGAGTGTCCAGTGTGTTGACTTGATGCTTGAAGTGATCCCCGGACTGCAGTGGACTACTGCCTTCGGTTCTATCTATATCCAGACTGCTGACCTGCTATGGGTCGCCTTCGGACATCAGGTAGTGGTGATACAACACATGCACTACGATGAGGAGCAACCTTGATAGATTGCTGCTATGCTGACTGAAACTAATATATACTTATGCTGAAGTCATAACTAGTTATGATGTGTGTAGAGTGGATGAGGATCCACTCGACCTTTGATGATGAGAAGGTATGGTTATATACCTCTTCACAGCATCGCCAGCGATGCTGCTCCTGCTCTCTCTCCAGAGAGTACCTTCTTCATCGAGTACTGTTCAGGGGGCCTCTCCTGCTTGCTTGGCACCCCTGTGCCTCTTGAGCTGTGTCGACTCCTTCGACACTGCTCCTCCTCCTTGCTATCCTGCTTGCTTGGCACCCCTGTGCCTCCTGAGTGGTGTCGACTCCTTCGACACTGCTCCTCCTCCTCAGGACCTGCTTGCTGGTTCCCTATACCCTGCTCCTTCTCCTTTGACTGGTGACAGTTCCTTTGACTCTTGTCTCTCGAGCCCCTGAGTGGTAACCTTCTGCATGCTCCTTGAGCTTGGTCCTCTTTGTGGCTGTGCCTGGCCCTCCTCGCATATGGGCCTGGTCCTCCTTTGCCTGTGAGTCTGTAGGAGTCCATGGTCTCCATGGAGACTGCACTACAACCATGCTCTCTACTGGTATCAACTAGATCTCCGATACCTGTGCTCCTTCCATATGAACCAGTGACCTGTAAGTGGTCGCGCGCCAGAGACTAGCTGAGGTTGATTGAGTAAGGACTACTCGATATGATTCACCTAAACATAACCAAGCATCGTCGCCTAGTAAGTCTCGACTGACCACCTTGAACACTCCATTCAGAGGTTGCGCAGCATGGATGTTGTTTGTTGGTGAGTGAGTGATACACCCTCCCCTACAGTACGAGTGTTCATAGTACTGTTGATATGCTCTTGGATGTCGTCTGGACCACGATATGCCAATCGCCTACAGAGGACATGAGTTACTGGACTGCTGGTGTGAAACACTGCCTACAAAAACCGACTGGACTGCTGGTGTCGAGCAACACTGCCTACAGCAAGGAACTGGACCGCTGGTGTTGAAGAACACCACCTACAGTAATGAACTGGACTGCTAGTGTGAAGAACACCACCTACAGTAATGAACTGGACTGCTAGTGTGAAGAACACTGCCTACAGTTGTCGACTAACAGTGATACAACACACATGTTGAGAGTCGTTGCAAGAGCACTGCTATTGCGTTGATATGTAACTGAGTATAGAGTAGTAAGTTGAGTTTCAGAGTGGATGCTGGTCCACTCGAATGCTATGGTAGAAAGAGAGTATTTATATGTTCGATCGGTGTGTTCCCTCGACACCTATCCTGCTCCTCTTGAGGGGCCTTTGTCCCCTGTTAGGCACTGCCTTGCCCTGCTGGCATCATCCCCTTCGATACTGCACTCCTACCATTTGCTCAGCATAAGGGTTATGCAACACTGCCCTCTTGCCTTCATGCTCTCCTTCTGTCTGATGTGTGATGCCCCCTTTCGGCATGGCCCCCTTTCGACTTAATCTTGTGAATCCCCCTTTTGAACCTCATGACCATACCCCCTGGTCATGTGGTCACATTGGCTCAGTTCTGTCTCGACTTGTTCGGATTGGCCAACTAGTTGAAGCATGCTGATCCGACTGATTCCAACATCGGCACAGCTCCAAATACCTGTTTGGTTTGGCTGATTAGTTGAGGTGTGCTGATCTGACTGCCTCTGTCATCGGCATAGCTCCGAGTACTTGTTTGGATCGGCCGACTCATTGAAGCATACTGGTCCAGCTGACTCTGACCGAATCCATGAGATCGATCTGGATTCCTGGGGTTCGATTGATCTTGTAATTCATGTGCACTGCCAACCCGATTAATCTCGTTGATCCCTGATGGTTTTTGACTCTGATCAATCTGGCGCACCCTTCATATACTGCTCCGTTACGCGACATTATCATAACTGCTGCTGATCATTTGGTGCACTCTCTTGCGCAGGCCAGCCGTCCCTGTGACACCACTCTTGGATCCAGGAGTTCATGATCATCCCATCACATCTTTTTGTTCAGGCTCGAGAGGACCCTAAGATGATGGTTATTGATTGTGCTGAGTTCAGGAGTGGGTCCTGGAGTAGCTTCATGACCAACTAGCTGATGATCAGAATAGTCCATGTTGGGAATGGGAGTATCACCCCTAATTGACCTGGGAGTTTCATCCTTGATGGGGGGTGTGACTTGGGGTTGTCCACATGCTCAATCAGACCTTCGATCTTGAGGTCAAGGATATGGGTCGCATCCCAATCTTTGTTAGCCAGGAAGAGAGTCACTCTGATTCACATGGCTTTACCGAGCTCGGTTCAATTAGTGAATGGACCAAGGTTGTACATTGCTTTGTAGAGGGTACCAACACATTCAATCATGATAGACAATGGTGAGATAATCTGTTCTTCATCATTGTCATCCATTGCATACTTCAGTAAGTGACCAGTCTTTGGAGCACTTGGTGTACCATAGACTTCATTGATCATAATCTGGTTGAACTGGTTCTGTACTATCATAGGCAGTTGTGGTAGGAGATCCTGCATGGGATCGATGAAGTTGTCATAGGTCAAGTAGTCTAAGTTAGACATTGTTGAAGGTGTGTTCAAGGATGTGGTAGGGCTGTTTGGGCTCATAACCTGTTGCAAGTAAAGAAGTTTTATGGTCCTGATACTGGTGATCAGGGATAGTTTAAGTACAATGTCACTACTTTGTTACAGCAGAAACATATACTAAATTGACTAAGAGAATGTGGCAAGAGCCTAGTGCTCTCTGCTCAATATATATACAAAAGTGTGGCACATGCCAAGTGTGAGAGTCTCTATAGTTAATGACCCAGCCTGACAATGAGCAGGACTTGGTTGTTCCCAATCCTTAACAAGATCAGTTATCCCCAATCTCCAATCTCATCATCTTTGCATCACCCATTAGTGTCGTCACTGGATCATGTCCTTCAACATACATGTGTCACTTCATTCCACATACACACATACAGACCATCAGTAGAAGCATATATACCTGGCATTGCTTTGGAACTAGTCTTCTCCTAGAATAATGATTTTGCTATCTACTTTGCCGCCCTCGCTTGTGCATTCCTCAGCATTGTCAATCCAGATCCATACGCTGTTTTTTGCATTGAGCCGTGCCATTATCATCATCTGTTGCTGCTGCTGCTGCTGCTGATGGTGGTGGATTGGACGCTCCAGTTGCCGAGATCGAGGGCAGCGCAGGCTGGACGCAATCGTTCCAAATCGGATTGGACACCACATTGAACTTCTCGAAGGTGGGTATCATGGCAAGAGTGGTCAAGATTTGCTCAAAGATGGCTCGGATCTTCAAAACGTCGAGGCAAGGATAGGCGTGCTTGTTGGTCACACCTCGGATGCAGAGTCGAGGGCATTCAGTGCCATTGATCGTCTGCACTCGCGGGCGGGATCCTTTAGGTTTGCTGGCAAATGATGTTGAGGTGCCCAGGTCAAGCAGAATGCAGAGCAGAGCCCTTTCAGTGAGTGGCTTTTCACCCGGCAGTGCATGTGAGGTGTGCATAATCGATGGTCCAGCGAGCTTGAGCATTACATCCGGCTTACCTGATCTGGCTCCTGGCTGCGGTTCGTCGCGATTCTTGGCCTCCCATGCAACGTAGGTCATGTAGCGTGCGGCGTGCATCTCGATGCTGGTGGCAGCATCATCCTGCGTGCCAGTGGGAGTAACAAAGGGCCGATCGAGGTTGCCCATAAAGACGGGGAGGATGCTGTCGATGCCATGCTGCGAGTGTGCCATTTGCAGTCCAACTCCATGCTTCCAACAGTACCACAGGTATTCGGGAGAGATCTTGGTGATATGTTCGGGCAGCACATCAAAATGCGTAAAGTTGGTCCATGCCACTGTTGATGCTGCTGCTGCCAATGTTCCAGCCCGCGGTCATTGCAGCGCCGGATGGGTGGACGAGCCGTCCTGCTGCACTCTTTCAACGTGTTGGCGCAATTGGTTAGCGTTGGCCTTGTCGAGGTTAGCAAGCTCTGAAAGGATGGTTTCGAGAGGCACCGCGCGGGTCAGCACCTTGACATGCTCCGATGTTTTCTGTTGCTTGAGCGCATCCAGCTCTTTGCACTTTGCTGCGTCCCAGGCGACAACCAAGGCCATGCACGAGGCTAGCTCTCCATACATCCCCTTGAATCTGGCGATTGCCGAGTCCACAAGGCATTGGCCTTGGAAGTTTCCCATGATGGAGCCGTACATGTCGACTGGCTTCGACCCAACATTTTTTGCGCCAGTGCACAACATGATGAGCGAGGCAGCGATTGCCAGCATGGGTTCCGACGGAGAATTGACGTACATGGTGGCATCGTTAGATATGCAGCTCACCATATGCATGTGCCGGTCCACGGTCTTGTCCATGAAGAGCTTTTGCTCGCCAAAGAGGGTGCCACCGCCTTCATGCACCGGGACAAGGCCCAGGGCAAGCTGCGAGGCCATGACACTGAAGCACTGTGCCATGTTGTCTGCAGAGAAATTCTTTTTGCCTTGAAGCTTGGCAAGGACGCTGCCCCAGAAGTCGCTGCTCTCGAGTGCGGGCCAGAGTGGCCGTCCGTATCAGATGAGGTGGTCATGTGAGGACGCCTGCGAGGCACAGGAGAGGGCACGTTGCTCCTGGGCGAGCACATCGACACCGACGCTGACAAATGTATGCAAAGGCACCGAGTTCCTTCGACGGAGTGAGGCCTGATCGTCAATGTGTTCGACGAGATAAGCGGCACTGCTGCTGGTGCTCATGAGCACCAACCAGAAACTCAAAGTCTTGTATTTATCCTGGAGTGTACCAACGTAGTTCCAAGCATGGCGAAGGCTGTTGAGCTGATTGTTGGGCGTGTTGGGATCAGTGACAATCATTTCGATGCATTCGTCAAAGGCTACCAGCACTGGAGGCACTGGCACTTCGGCTTGACTCGAGTGCAGATGACGCGACACGGCAATTAGCTGCTCGTTGAGATCGATAAGAGGCTGCCGGAGAGCCACGTCAAAGATCGTTTCGTAACTGGGTGTTAGGAAGGATTTGGAAGCTTTCCCCTCTACGAGCTTGAGTACAATTGGGAGATCGCTCTCTGCGAGCTCGGATATGGCCTAGCCCTAGCCCTAGCCGGTGTGTCTTGCTTGCGGGCAACGCACAATTGCGCTCCGCCAAAATCGAAATTCACGCGACTGCGTTGACCCCCAACGCACTCGAAATTTACACTGCTCAAGTGCCGCAACGCAAACAAATTTATTTTTGCTGGAGCAGCGCAAATTGAGCAACGCACAGCTGGAGCAACGCACTCACAGCTGGAGCAACGCACACTCTGCTGGAGCAACGCAATCTGAGCAGCGCACAGCTCGAGAGCAACGCACTGTTCGAGAGCAATGCACAGCTCAAGAGCAACACACAGCTCAAGAGCAACGCACAGCTGGAGCAACGCAATCTGAGAAGCGCAATCTCATCAGCGAACTGCTGGACAGCGCACACTCTGTCGGAGCAGCACAATTGAGAGCAGCGCAATTGAGAGGAGCGCAATCGAGAGGAGTGCTCACTCTGCTGGAGCAGCACAATCGACATGAGCGCAATCAAGACGAACGCAATCGACAGGAGCGCAATCGACAAAAGTGCAATCAACAGCAGCTCAATTGACAGGAGCACAATCAAGAGGAGTGCAAGCGACAGGAGTGAGCACTCTGCTGCAGCAGCGCAATCGAGAGGAGCGCAATCACGAGCAGAGCAGGAGAGAGGAGCACAATCGAAAGTAGTGCAAGAGAGAGCAGAGCGAGAGAGAGGAGCGTAATCAACAGGAGAGCAATCTACAGGAGCGCAATCGAGAGGAGACCAATCGACAGGAGTGCAATCGACCGGAGACCCATCGACAGGAGCGCAATCGAGAGCAGAGCAGTAGAGAGGAGCTCTATCAACAAGAGCGCAATCGACAGAAGTGCAATCGAGAGGAGCTCAATCGAGAGCAGAGCAAGAGAGAGGAGCGCAATTGACAGGAGTTCAATTGACAGGAGTGCAAGAGAAAGAAGCGCAAGAGAGAGGTGAGCAATCGACAGAAGCACAATCAAAAGGAGCGCAATCGACAGGAGCACAATCAAGAGGAGTGCAATCAACAGGAGCGAGCACTCTGCTGCAGCAGCGCAATCGAGAGGAGCGCAATCAACAGGAGCTCACTCGAGAGCATAGGAAGAGAGAGGAGCGCAATTGATAACAGCACGGAGCTCAATCATGAGCAGCACAATGGACAGGAGCACAATCGAGAGCAGAGCAATGGACAGGAGCGCAATCAAGAGGAGCGCAATGGACAGGAGCTCATTGGAGAGGAGCGCAATTGACAGGAGCGCAATCGAGTGAAGAGCAGCAGAGAGGGGCGCAATCGACAGGAGTGCTCACTCTGCTGCAGCAGCGCAATCAAGAGGAGCGCAATCAAGAGGAGCGCTATCAAGAGAAGAGCAATCGACAGTAGCACAATCGAAAGCAGAACAATCGACAGGAGCGCTGTAGAGAGGAGCGCAATCGACAGCAGAGGAGGAGAGAGGAGCGCTCCACTGCTGGAGCAGCACAATTCAGAGGAGCTCAATTGACAGGAGCGCAATTGAGAGGAGCGCAATTAAGAGGAGCGCAATCGAGAGACGAGCAGCAGTGAGGAGCGCAATCGAAAGGAGTGCTCACTCTGCTGCAGCAGCGCAATCAAAGCGAGTGCAATTAAGAGGATCGCAATCGACAGGAGGGCTCACTCTGCTGGAGAAGCACAATCGAAGGAGCAAACACTCTGCTAGAGCAGCGCAATTGACAGGAGCGCAAATCGAGCGCAATTAAGAGGAGCACAATTGACAGGAGTGCAATTGACAGGAGCTCAATTAAGAGGAGCGCAATCGACAGGAGCGCAACTGAGATCAGAGCATTCGAGAGGAGCGCTCACTCTGCTGCAGCAGCGCAATCGAGAGGACCGCTCATTCTGCTGGAGCAGCACAATCAAGAGCAGCGCAATCGACAGGAGCTCTATCGACAGGAGCGCAATCGACAGGAGCGCAATCGACAGGAGCTCAATCAAGAGGAGCTCGATCGACAGGAGAGCAATGGAGAGAAGAGTAGCAGAGAGAAGTGCAATCGACAGGAGCTCTATCGACAGGAGCGCAATCGACAGGAGCTCATTGGAGAGGAGCTCAATCGACAGGAGCGCAATCGAGAGAAGAGCAGAAGAGAGGAGCTCAATCAACAGGAGACCAATCGACAGGAGCACAATCGACAGGAGCACAATCGACAGAAGTGCAATCGAGAGGAGCCCAATCGAGAGCAGAGCAAGAGACAGGAGCGCAATCGACAGGAGCTCATTGGAGAGGAGTGCAATCGACAGGAGTGCAATCAACAGGAGCACAATGGACAGGAGCGCAATCAAAAACAGAGCAATCGAGAGGAGGTCACACTCTGCTGGAGCAGCACAATCTGGAGGAGCTCTATCGACAGGAGTGCTCACTCTGCTGGAGAAGCACAATCGAAGGAGCAAACACTAGCCCTAGCCCTAGCCGGTGTGTCTTGCTTGCGGGCAACACACAATTGCGCTCTGCCAAAATCGAAATTCACGCGACTGCGTTGACCCCCAACGCACTCGAAATTTACACTGCTCAAGTGCCGCAACGCAAACAAATTTATTTTTGCTGGAGCAGCGCAAATTGAGCAACGCACAGCTGGAGCAACGCACTCACAGCTGGAGCAACGCACACTCTGCTGGAGCAACGCAATCTGAGCAGCGCACAGCTCGAGAGCAACGCACTGTTCGAGAGCAACGCACAGCTCAAGAGCAACGCACAGCTGGAGCAACGCAATCTGAGAAGCGCAATCTCATCAGCGAACTGCTGGACAGCGCACACTCTGTCGGAGCAGCACAATTGAGAGCAGCGCAATTGAGAGGAGCGCAATCGAGAGGAGCGCAATCGAGAGGAGCGCTCACTCTGCTGGAGCAGCACAATCGACATGAGCGCAATCAAGACGAACGCAATCGACAGGAGCGCAATCGACAAAAGTGCAATCAACAGCAGCTCAATCGACAGGAGCACAATCAAGACGAGTGCAAGCGACAGGAGCGAGCACTCTGCTGCAGCAGCGCAATCGAGAGGAGCGCAATCACGAGCAGAGCAGGAGAGAGGAGCGCAATCGACAGGAGAGCAATCGAGAGACCAGCAGCTGAGAGGAGCGCAATCGACAGGAGTGCATTCGACAGGAGCTCAATCAAGAGCAGCGCAATTGACAGGAACTCAATTGAGAGCAGAGCAATCGACAGGAGCTCATTCGACAAGAGCACAATCAACAGGAGCTCAATCGACTGGAGCGCTCACTCTGCTGCAGCAGCACAATCTAGAGGAGCTCGATCGAGAGCAGTGCACACTGTGCTGGAGCAGCACAATCAAGAGGAGTGCACTGCTGGACAGCGCTCACTCTGCTGGAGGAGCACAAGTCGAAGGAGCACAAGACTAACCGTCATTTCAAACCCGATCTAACATTTGGAGCATGTTCACCGACATTTTTGACATCAAATACAATCTAACATTCTTGAGACGCATCTAACATTTTGTGACCTCTATTTTGACCTAATATTTTCGCACCTTTTGTTAAATATGTGTTCTTTGTTTCGATCAAGTATTTTGCGCACATTACTGATACTTTGAAATCATTGTTTCGATCTAACCTTTTTGGCATGTGACCTGTGTTATGTAACCCCTTTTTGATCTAACATCTACCACCCGTGACTGATATTTTCCTCGTGCCTCACAGCTAGCAGCGCACTGCTGGACAGCGTAATTAAGAGGAGCACACTGCTTGACAGTGCACACTCTGTCGCAGAAGCACAACTCAGAGCAGCGCAATCGAAAGCAGAGCAAGAGAGAGGAGCGCAATCGACAGGAGCGCAATCAAGAGGAGTGCAATCGACAAAAGCACAGTCGACAGGAGCGCAATCGAGAGATGAGCAGCAGAGAGGAGCGCAATCGACAGGAGTGCAAGAAAGAGCAGAGCAAGAGAGAGGAGCGCAATTGAGAGCAGAGCAATCGACAGGAGCGCAATCGACAGGAGCTCAATTGAGAGCAGAGCAGGAGAGAGGAGCGCAATGGAGAGCAGAGCAATCGACAGGAGTCAATCAAGAGGAGCGCAAGAGAGAGGAGTGCAATTAACAGGAGCGCGATCGAAAGTAGAGCAGGAGAGAGGAGCGTAATGAACACGAGCGCAAGAGAGAGGATCGCAATCGACAGGAGCGCCTGCTCTGCTGGAGCAGCACAATCGACATGAGTGCAATCGAGAGGAGTGCAATCGACAAAAGCACAGTCGACAGGAGCGCAATCGAGAGCAGAGCAGGAGAGAGGAGCGCAATCGACTGGAATACTCACTCTGCTGCAGCAGCGCAATCGATAGGAGTGCAATCGAAAGCAGAGCGGGAGAGAGAAGCGCAATCGACAGAAGAGTAGCGGAGAGGAGCTCAAGCAAC